GCGGCTCCGCGCGCGTGGGGGCCGCCAAGCGGTAGTCTGGCGGAAGCTCCTCCGGCCCGCGAACTGGGTTCAAAGGTGGTCCCATGCGAATGAGCCCGACGTGAAGGATGACGACGTCTGGAGTCTGGAATTTTTTGGAAAAATATCTTGTAGTTCCAGCTCCCAACTTGGAGGGCTGAACAGTCGAGTCAGATTTCAACATGCATAAGTATATATTTGCATGCAGTTGCAGTCTATAGCCACTTGCTGTCACGAACCACTGCTGTTTCTCAATAAAATAGACCAGCCGTAGCAAGCCGTCCACAATAGAGATGCCAATATTTTGTCATGAGCTTGCCAAGAACATCATGGAACACACAAGAGCTTCTCCTGTTCTGGACAGAAATACTTTTCTTATGCCAATGGGCCAAGTTGTGGAATGCATCAAAGCTGAACAGCTCAACTGGTGCCTTCCTGCCCAAAATGGGAAAACCAACCGACCAACCAACCAACTACAGCAACCAAAAGAACACAGCTTGTTTTTCTCCGTCCTCTACGTCATAGAGACGGTCCATAAAGAATATCCGCCGCAATCGGCAGTTGGCATGGATTGTCATGCGGGTGGTCTCCACGTAATTGCCTTAAAGCAGCTCAAAGGCTCACCAAACGAGATTGCATCCTGCCAGTGTGAGATCATCCCATGATGACAACAACATCAGATCATCAGGCTGTACAGTCGTCCAGCACCTTGTGCCACTTCCGTAATTAATTGTGTACATTCATGTGATGTTGATCTTTTGTATCAGAATGACGTTGCACGCTTTTCCAGGTGATTGAAGTCTGGAGGTGCACACAACTAGGAATTGCAAACCCTGCAACATGTTATGAACATTTCAGAAGACCCTCCCTCAAACTACTGTGACATCAACTAACCTTCCAAAGGTTCGGGCCCATGTTGAGAAAATTCCAAGTCATGGAAGTGGAAACACTTCGCCAGGAGGCGACTTCTCTCCACCAAACAGGGGCGGTATTTACCCGCTGTTATGCCTACTTTGGGGAGTCTATGCAATGGCAGGGTGTAGCGACGCCTGATTGATTGGGTAGACTCATTGCCAGGAGGGATGTTCCATGGTTTCTGGGTTCGCTTAAGGTCTAGTTGGAGAAAAACAAAAAAACTATCTAAAGATCATAGCCTAGCGGCGTGCAAGGAGAAACCCTTGTTCCTGCACGCAAGCCATGGAACCTGGCTTCTGGCCCCCAGAACCCGACGTCCACCGAGCCACTGTTGAAGGCTCGCTTCGTGAAGTCAGCCAGGTTGAACATCACCTGCTGCAGCGGGAGTCGAGTCTTGGACGAACCCAACCCAGACTAGACAGAATAGAGAAGTCGATTATTGAGATCAGATTAAAAACCCCATTATGGTTGTTCACTAGAGGGTGTTTTCCTTTCTTTAGACATTTTTAGGACCAAGCAATATAAACCCATCATTGTTGCCCATCTATGCAGGAACCACCTGTCCGGTCTTTGCCTGTCCGACAGGTGTCTCCAGCCTCAACGCCCTGGATGAACTGCAAAGAACACTTGAGGATGGACAGGTTTCACGGTTTCACCTGAGAAATTCATCCCAACACCTGAGAAGGGAAAACCGCATTGTCTTGGTCTTGGTGTTTCGCATTGTTTTGCAGTTCTTGGCCCGTACAGCGATGAAGCTAGGTCAGGTGGATCAGCATTAATGAAAACAACGTGCAGGAATGTGAGTCATGAGCCTTGTCGAAAACTCGCGTCAAATGCTTCCTAAAACAAGGCTCATGAGATCTCAAGTGCTGGCCCAAGAGCGGGATCCCAAGCACGGCATCTCTGGTTGCATGATGTGGCATGGCACTCCACGGCATTCCCACCCACACACAAACACAAACAAAAAGGGAAAAAAAACACAAGACCCAACGGAGGCCCACCTGGTTCCAACCAGGCTCCAACTGCAAAGGCATCGAACAGTTAAAGGGCCCCACCTGGCACAGTGAATGTCCTCGTCTTGGCGCATTTGAACTGGACTGGAGGTCTTGGCGAATTGACATAAACGCCAACAAGCGGTGGTATTTTTCATCAGGACGCCCCCCCAACCGGCTTTGGCTGCCTTTGGCCTATCGGGCCTATGATGGGTCTTTCCAGGTGTTTTTTTGGGGTCCCTATTCAAAAGCACATCCGTACTCCAGCAGGACCTGTTCCCTACTCCAGGTGGACGGCCCGTCTCAGCGCCCATTGGTAGATTGATGAGGGGCTCAAGACCACCAGTTCAGACTCAAGCTGGAACATATGAGCACCTGGTCTTACCAGCTCGAACAAGACTTTGCGGTTTTCAGTCTGAGCTGAGCTGTTTTTTGGTCTTTTCCATGGAGATAATAGCCGAACATCGCTTCCTTTCAGCCTCCTTTCCCGCCACAATGCCCGGCAGCCCACCTTGGTGCCACTGTGAAAGTTCGAAGCCTTGAAGCGGCGCTTTTGGCCTGCATGTTCAAATCGAGAGTGCCCCCCTTCAAACCGTTGAGCATGTGAACCCAAAAAGAAAAAGGGACGGATCGACCCGAGGTCAGTGGGTGACACTCCAACCGGTCTGAACCTGATCGACCGAACCAACCGGCTTCAATAGAACCCGACACGAATTCTGCTGAGCTGTGCTTGCTGTAGTAGGTCAGGGTGCTCTTTGAAACATGTACCCCACATCATATTCCTATGTCTTCCTTGAAGTTCGCTATGACTTCAAGGGGGTATTTTTCGGCACGGTCCCTTCTCGCCACTGATGATTTCCACTGAACATCTATGAACATCTGCTCATTCGGCCTTGGTCGTCCAACACCTCCACCTCGAAGGCAAAGTACCTCGTTGGACATTCGGAACCCACGAGAGGGATGCTGCTTGTTATATAAAAACGACCGGAAGTCCCATGATGCGGAGGAATCTTCCACCCCGAACTCAAAGGCCTAGTCTTGAGAAGGCTCTAGCAAAACTGGGCATTTCTTGATCTGCACCAGTGAAGCGAAGTGGCAAGCGTGTGTCCAAAGGTCAATTGGCAGGGAAACATCATGTCAGCAGGAATCACATTGAATGAACACTGATAGATCGTTTTGATGCACCCTGACTAACATGGACCTGGAAGTGGATGGAAAATGCCCCTGGATGACCCTGGGCTGCCCTCCCAACAAGATCGAAGCAAACAAGACGTAGGGCACTTGTTGAGGTTCTTCACCAAAAGCACCAAGAAAGGAAGCTTCACACCTCTCCAGGCTAATCTCTGCGCTGTGCTAAAGGTATCAAATGGTATCAATGATGACGATTGAAACTGCAAATGGACGGCAACATATTTCTTCTCGTCTGCATGATTAGAAGGACCAAACCACTCGTGAAGCACCGGTCTAAGGATCCTATTCTTACCGGACATCCACTTTTGAGGTCGGTCCAAGTCAGCGAAAACAACATGATGATGAGCTTTTGGCGCCCCATGGCGTCCCACAATCCGATCGCCACAAGGCGATCGCACGGTGGGCTTCCCCGTCCGGCCCCGGTGCTCGTTTCACGGCCCAGGAATGCGACCCTCCACGACGACAGGAAGACATCCATCCACGCAAGGATGACATGGCAGTGTTCTGTTCTGTTCTGTTTTTTGGGAACAGCGTAGCGCCTAAAGTCTGCACGATGTTTTCGGATCCCAGCCTAAAGTCTGTCGGTCTTGTTCGGGACAAGTGACCTGCTCACTGTGACATCTCCATGAAATCGAGCACCCCCAAAGCATAAAACAGCTTTCCTGAATCTGATCTCAATACCTCTCTTCACTGACTGGCATTCCCTCTGCCCCAACACCTCGAAGGCATATCCGCACATACCCCAGTTTGAGACCCAATTCAATTGAACTTGCAGATTCCGAGTTCGGAAATTCAGACTCCCCCCGCCCCAATGCTTCATGCACTCCGCTTCCAAAATCTTCCAAATAACCAACCATCCTGTGATGTCCCATGCTTCAGTGATCTTCACAATTGAATGTGATGCCTTTGTATGTTTTAAGCGATCCCTTGCGAACGGTCATCCATCCGCGCACCCCCAAAAAACCGCCCTTTCAGTGCCCTTTCAGTCTTTCAACTTTTTGGTCTGAGGATGTTTTAAAAAACAGGTTCATCCAATTTGGAGGAATCCTGCCGACCTGCCTCTTCGGGTTGGAAAAAGCTCTTTCACCCCAGTTGGACGCCGCCGGCCTGGCAGGTGCTCACGTTGTTGCCCGCCACCTCCAAGGCCGCTGAGCCGATGTGCTCGTCTGTCAAGCGGCGGATGTGGCCATTCCGCACCTGAGCACGCCACAGGTACAAGGGATGCCGGCCAATGGCGTAGAAAATGGAGAAGACGCCGGTCTGATAGGAGTTCCTGAACAAGAGTCTCAGAGAATGAGAAGGATTATAGAAATGAGATGACTCAAAGTGGAGAAGCCAACGGAAGAATTTATGCAATTGTTGTTCACACAGACAGAATCAGTATGTCAGCAGGAAAATGTGCGTTTCCCAGACATATATCATTATCAAATTATATCAATGCTATTGGTGCGATTGTTCAATCCAGTCAGACCGCAGGGCTGGCTCTTAAAGGCTCCTGAAGAGCACCGCAGGTGCATCAGTCCCCTTCGGAGGAAGTTGTAGGAACTTTGAGCTGTCGATCGCCATCGGCTACTTTGTAGCTGACGGCCGAAGACATCTCGAGCCACAAGATCAAAAGCGCGGGCCAACGTGTGAGTGGCAAAGAGCCTTCAAAACTGACCACATCATTTCCTTTGGACTTTGGAGTTGGTCAGTTTTAGTCGTGGACATGCAAGCTAATTATACATCCCAAAACGTCAAACGAGTCAAACTGTCTTGTTGCCACTGTTTTCTTCTCAAGTTGAGGAGGTAGAGAAACCAACCCATCAGAACAACCATCAGTGCCAAAACCCCCCCCGCGTTTTTCTTTTTAAAGCAAGGCAAACACACGGAGAATCCAGCGGCCTTGAAGGCTTCCTTCACCGGATCAAAGTTCCTGGGTGATCCGTCTGGGTCGGACGGACGATGGAAGACGCTCCTGAAGACGCGTCGGTCTTCCGGTCCGAACCGTTGTGCTATGTGGTACTGAACCGTTGAACTTGTGGGACGGTCACCTTCCTTCCCCAAAAGCTGATAGGAATTCACCATCCCACGCCAAGCCACACAACATGGAGCTTGCTATTTCAACCAGGGCCAAGCGTGATATACATAGGCTGCTGCAACACCGAAGAAAAGAAACACGTTCTTGGCTGCCATTGGCTTCATGAAGTCCAGGTGATGCACCGTCGTTCACTGGGATTGCACACATGTAATTTGTACATGTTGTTATTTCCAACTTCACCCCTCCGTTGAAAACACAACACTGATTCATCGGAACATGGATGTACATAGAGATGGTTCAGAACCTCAACTCAAAGTCGCACAAGCAAGCAAATCTACTGGCACACGATGGCACCACCATGGAAAAACTCCCAAACCCCCTGAGACCGAACCTAGGTCCGCATATGTTTTTCTGAAAAGCGTCGTAAGCTGATTGTCCTTCAGAAGCGCATAGAGCTCCTCTGCGCCCGAACGTCCGGATCGCCATGCACCGGGATCCGCCCATGCCAGTTCGCCAAGCACCCTCTGGAAGAAATCGATATACATCGTCCAATGTCTGCTTCAGTTTCTGTACTCCCGCCATAGGGCGGATGAACTATAGTTGGCAAGTGCTGGTTCTTTCTAACCAACAGAGTATAACTTCTCCCAGGACATCCCATCTCGATATCGGATGTCGGCGCCGGTCCTCAAAGGTGATTTCCGGCTGGTTGTTCAGCAGGAACTTCACTTCACGTGTGGTGATGTCCTCGCGGCTGAAACCCGGTGCCGCCAGTTTTGTAAGATTGGATGGAACACGGTAAGTTCAAGTTTAACAGGATTGCTGTTAACTGCTTAATAATTCATGCATAATGTGATATGAATCCTGAATACCTAATAACGAATAACTCTACATGCCACTGACTAGCCTGGACCCTACCGGAAACAAAGCAATAACACGCTCCTTGTAGAAGGTCTGCAAGCGCTTCTTGATCTCGGACATGGTGAGCTTCCCTTTACCTTTGCAGTGCTGAGAATGGGAGCATTCGTGAGGGGGGAGACACAGGGCAACTGTCAACTTGTTCAAAGGATGTTCTTTGGCAAACCATATATCAGAGGTCAGCCTTAGCCTTCAGGCCTGCGGACTTCAACCAAGCCACGATGTAGCTGGATGGAGCGCTGTTTAGGCATGTTTAGGCAACAGATGGTTCGTCGGTTGGATTTGGAAAGGCTCGAGAGGGTTGTATTCACAAACATTAGATTCCAAAAGGGATTGGATAGGCTATCAGGTATTGCGCAAGGAATTTGCAATGACAAGTGGCCGTTGGTGTCAAAGAACTCCCAGGCTACCTTGGGCTCAACCGGGCTCCAACATACAGTGAACACGAGAGAACACCTGATTGGCATTTCTGAGGAAGTGCTTCCCAAAGGGATACACCATTTACAAAATAGGCCTTATTATGTCTTTATTAAGCATGCATTGTGCAAAGGTGTCTCTCTTCGGGTCCCATTGCATCCGGGATTCCAGATTAGAGACATCCTGCTCGTCGCTTTTTTGTTTCGCAGGCACTCAATTTGCGGAAATGCCCTAGTAGCCATCATCTGGCGCAAGCGCAAGCACCTGCTGATGAACCACCTGACCCAGGAGAATGTGCCTTACCCCGAACTCAAGGAATTTGGCAGCATGCTCACATTTTGTGCTGCCAAACGTGTGTAGCCAAAACTCGCATGGCTTATACCGCCAATGCTGGAGCTTCACAAGAAATCCAGCGTCCGACCTGGAAAACCGTGGCCTTGTGGGATTGGACAAGGACTCTGCCGAGGTTGTCTTCTTCCCTCACCTACTGCTGCTGCTGCCCAAACAGGTTTCTTCAGGGTTCGCTTCGTTGTGTTGGTCGCCCGGAAGAAGCGGCCGTTGCGAGGCGGAATTTCTGCCAACGGCCACCCGCCTTGAGCTCGTCCTCAGTGATGAGGATGCCACCCTTCCTGGCCAAAACGATCAAGAAACCCGCTTTGATAGAGGTGTCCGAACTGTTCAATCATTGCAAACAGCAAAGGCATGCAAAGGCAGCACAACAAGGCAACCAAACCATTCATTTTAGCTTTTGGATTGCGTGATGACCAACAGCATAGAACAGCCCAAATTCAGAGGTTTCCTCTGAACCCACCAACCCTGGCGCCAAAAAAATGCAACAAATGCCTGTAACTCATGTCTGTCTGGCAACGTAGTCGTCCCTCCCAGTGCCATCTGTTCAAACTTGGCAAAGCCCACTCGTTTCGAGGCAAAGGTAGCGAAACATGGTCCTGGCGCACAGAAGGACTATCATCACATGGTGTGAGTCTTTGTTGGCTCGCTTCCTACATCACGGAATCAGTTTGTATAGGGCCTAGAGTTTTCTGAACATATTTCAACATGAGGGGCCCTTGTTCCATTGAACTCGACTAATGGCTGTTTATAGAAGCAGCTTAATCGGAACAGTTGGTCTGCAAAAATATCCAGTTGATCCCAAAAATCCCCAAAGGGCACAACACTGTTTGAAGTTTGACACGTATGCGAACACCTGCAAAAAGATCCACCTGTGTGTTACAGTAATCGTGTGTCCTTGATGAGCGTTGATGCTTACGCTGTTGGGTAAGGACTCAACAAGTCACCCAGTCCAATCAATTCCTATGGCCAGCCACCAGCTACCACGCAGGGTGACCCAACATTCATTGTGGGGCTTAAGCCTTGTGGCGTTTGTTCCTCGAATACTCCTGCGAGCCATGTCCACCTCACCCAAGCAGGCGCAACGTGCGGTTCTGCACCTTGAGTTCCTGCCCTCGCTTGGCCCTGAGCCAACTCACACGCACCAAACAATACGGACTTCAAAACGGTGGATCGCTGATAGGCACCCCATGAGCATTTTGTTCGGTTGTGTTGGTGTATGCAGGTGAAGAAACAATTCCTTTCGAGTTAGGATCCCAAACGCATGAGGAGGAAGCGGCCGGGCTTCAGTTGCACACGGGATAAGAGTGCTCAATACCCTTTTGGCAGAAGCATGCAGAAGCTCAAAGGAAAGGCTGGCAATGTTGCACCACTCAGCAATGTTAACTTTGATTCTCAAAAAGGATTTGCGTTGGTAAGCGGAAAGCTGGCAAATGACGATGACGACGACCGCCAGTCTTCACAGCCGTCCCCCTGCAGCATCTCTCTCACTCTTCAGCCGCTTCTGGCCTCCCAAAAAGCGAAACAACATCAAAGGTTGGTGTTCCAGCCAAGGGCCATGACTTCCCAACAAATGGTGAGAAGTCCAAGTTGTTGGAGTGGCCCCCTGCACCCCCACCTTCGGCTGTGGGTCACTCCACACACCACCGTCGCCACCGGTCCGGGTCCCCCAGCGCCATGGACGGGCGCGACGTCTCGGCGGCCGAAGCGGCGGAAGAAGCGGCTTGAACCAGGAAGGAGGCAACATCAACTGAACTGAAGAGTGGAACAAAATGGAACCAAGTCTGCTTAATTCATCACATTTATCAGGCAAAACGCATCTTCTGAACATCAATTGGTATTGGTTCTGCCGACCGTTGGACGTATCCTGACGAAATGGAGTACAATCGCGGGGCATGGATCAGGAGGACCGGGCCCAGCCGGCCAAGCTTCCAGCAACTCCACTCCAACAAATTGCGGGCAAGAAGAAACACGATGACAACTTCAACCGGCTCCAAACCGAGGTATATGGTTTGCAATTGTATGGGTGGGTGCAGCCAAAACGCGATATCATGGGATATCTAAACCTGACACCTGTGATTCCAAACATGACATAGGCCATTTTGGTTCTCTGCTGCCTCTCCTTTTTTCGGGGAGGGGCAAAACCTGCCCTTTTGGCCAGCTCTGGCCGGGCTTATAGCCACGTGCAACATGAAAATCGGATGATATCCCGCCAACGAGTCGGCAGCTGACAGCTTGCTCCCGCCCTCCCAACCATGTCCGGCCTTTTTTCGGCACAAGCACCATAACTGTACAATGCCGTGGTGACCCGGAACGGAACTGGAGTGAAAGTTCTGCATGTTTCACCCCCGAATTGTTGGAACTTTTTGGAGCTCGAAAGCATTTGAAGGAAGTTGAACGAGCTTCTGGAAAACACATGATGACCGAAGAAGTGAGACTGACAGTTTCTCGTCAAACTTCCAACTTGCTCTTCAATTTAAAACGGGCCCCCCTGACCTTTCATCTTCCAAGTTATATGCTTGGTAGGGTTCCAAGCCTGCCGTTCGCTCCTCACACCCTGCAGTGTGACCCAAGTCGCCATAGCCGTTTGACACCCAGTTTGGCCTGCCGGTTGGTCGAAGCCGTCTCGCTCTCTCGATGAGTGGTGCCCCCAAAGACGTCCCATGCATGGTTAGAGGGATTTGAGGGTGGCCAACAAGACCGGTGTGTGCGTGTATTAAACATGTAGGAGAAAAACCTACTATTTAAATTATGAAACATACCGTAAGAACCAAGTGTGTCCACACTGTTTGGGGAAAACATGCGAAACAATTATCACAAGCTTTAGGATGGCATCGGTGCGGAGAGATCCGCCCCAGTGGAACCCATATTGAAGTAAGAGGTGTTGACACTGGACAATGGGACAGGTGTTCAGTCTGAACCATTGGGTAGCTGCATGCACGTGTATGGCGAGTTGCCTTATGTGGCCTTTCAAAGGCGCTGATCCAATTCTCAAATGTGTGAGACCCCAATCCCCCACACGAAGCAATGGTACCATCAGCCAATCCAGTACTTGTGCCTCAATCCATTGCCCCGCCACACACCTCACCTGTAGCGTCTGTAGCATTTTCTGCAGCAGTTGCTGTGTTCACCTCTGCTGAAGGATTCTGAACTGAAGGGCCTTCTTGCAAAAGAAAACAGCAAAAAGGCTCAAACAGGTTGGTTTTTTGAAGGGCTCATTGACTCCCTGAACGATGCCACTCCAAACAGTTCTTGGCGTCCTCTTGTGGGGGAGCCGCTCAATGATCGAAACACATATCATCCACGCATAGTGGACTCGAATGAACTTGCTAGGTGCCCTCCACGAACTTTGATCAGGGATCAGGACACACCCGGACCATACTCCGACCATCTTCCAACCAAGCACTAGGAACCCCAAAGTTGAGTGCTCCCTCCACCAAGAAGGGCGTGAACATGCGTGAACCTTGTTCAACGATCATGAACCGGGCCACCCTTGCGCGGACGCCCGCAGGGACACACGTCTCGGAGGTCTCGATGGACCAACAAGGTCCAGAAGTGCAAATCTTCTGCCAGCCTGTCCTGACAGCATGTGGGAACACATGTCGTCAAGCTCAATTCAGGACGCAAAGGCATCTATTGAACATGTGTCTGAGTCCAAAGCATGGAAACTCAGCTGAATGGTTCAATTTGCAGCTTGTTTGTCATATTTAATCTGTGTTGGAAGCCTGCCATGAACCAGCCAGCAGTCACACACGGCCCAGTTCCATCATGCTTCAGTCAGGGTGCAAACACTTGCACACCACCATTGTATAATTACAAAACATTGTTAAACATGTATTATGAATGGATCATCACCACCTAGGAAACACACTTTGATCTTGCAAAACTCTCTGCTGATCCCCAACGTATAACTATTTTTCCTCACTCTGCCCTGGCAAACTGGCCGCGTATATATATATATATACATATAACGTTATAACAATATATAAATATATGCTCTCGAAGTTCTGATCTCACACTCCTCAGGGCTTTGCGAAAGAACTTGGACTCGCCCATCCGAGAATACGAACACATTTTGCCAGCCGCTGAGCGCCTCGTTGTTCCAAAGGATGGGCCAAAAATTCTAGCTCTTTCCAAATGCATGGCCTGCCAACAAACAGCCAGTGACCTTATTGGGGGGTAAACATCTTGCTCTCACTATCCAACAACCTCATGCATTCCCTCCCGCGTTCAGGATGGTTGGATCATCGTTGCAAAGAAGAATTGTTGTCCGTCATTTTTGTTGCTAATAGCTGCCACAGGGGGAAACGTAAAAAAAAGGCCATCAGGTCACAACTCCCCAGTCGAAGTTAGAACGACTTGCAGATTGAACTCGCGAGAGAAAAGTTTTTTATTTTATTTATTTTTTTTTCGAAACACCATGTCGAAAACTCATCAACGACGAATCGGCCGAGACCGAGGTCGGCACGCTCTTCACTTCGACGCAATCTCTCCACACTTTAGTGATGCGACCTCGCCAGGGGCCCCGTTCATCCAGCACGGTCACAGGGAAGCCCTGAAGGCTGCGGAAGTTCTGCGGCACGAAGAGCGGTGCTTGGCCACGGGTGAGCTCGAAGGAGCGCACGCGGACGCCAACCTGCCGAATGCGAAACTGCCACACCTGGAGGCTACCTCACTGTGTTTGACCTTTGGAGCCCTAACTGTTGGAATAGATATCTTCCGAATCTTCCGACCCCGCTTTCGGGGGGTGCGCGCAAGAGGACACGGCCTGGTGTCGGCTGGATGAGATGGTTGCCGAAGTAGACTCGCTTTATCTGCAACCCTCCCGTCGGAAAGCATCGTTTGGAACTGAGCGGTTAGCTTCGAGGACGGGTTTTTGGTAGTTTATGCTGTGGAATTAGAATTGCAAAATAGTTCGAATCTAGGACTGACAATACCCACAAGCAAAAAGACACATCTAAAACCCCCTCAATGTCAAGGCATGTCAAGGCTCTCCATTCATGAGCTCCCAAGCCCTCATCAGTTGCCGATCAGGACCGCCGCTGTTGAAGTTTTGCACTACAGGATTGAGCATCTTGGACATGTACTTCACATCGCTCACAAATTCCAGGATAATCTGCCAAATGGCCTCGATGATTGCTGTAAACTGCAAGCTGCAAGGTCTTAGACCTTGTTGCTTATCGTGTCACTACGCTTGAGCTAAGCAAACAGGGTTCTGACTGTCAAACTACGATGGGACAACGAGTTACAGTAGCAATGTCCCCTTTCCCGGACTCCACGTTGGATCTTTCCCAGAAAGGCCCCTTCTGGATCAACAAAATGCAGCAACATATCCTCAGGACGTTATTAGGCACAAAAGAACCAGAACCTTCAAGATGTTTTCCGAATAACTTCGATTCTTCCATTGGCTGCGTAGCAACCAAACTATGCGACCTACGGATGGGGAGAATTTCAACCGAAGGCAGGTGATGCACTTTAGGTGACACAGATCCTTCAAACGAACGCTAGGCGTCCAGCGTCCCTGTCCTTCAAACAGTTATGCCATAGCCAATTGGCAGGCAATTAGCACTGTAGCACTGTACTACATATGGCTCAATGGCGCGATTTGCTCCAAACTCACATCCGCAGCAAACAACTTGCCGTTGACTTGCCGTAAGTGGTGTGGAATCGCTGACTTCTTGGCCAGCACTGTTGCCACACGTAAATCCCCGCAATGGAACCATCAACACGACAACGCATGCCAAGCAACCCCAGGCGATCCGCTCAGGATCCCCGCTGAAAGGGTAGCATATGGTAGAATGATCCAAAATGATACGCTTGTACAATTGAATCTCTCGTACTCGTACCATGAAGGTATGTGCCTTGACCATGCAAACCACAAACTGTAGACATCTGTAGACTGTTCGATTGAAGCATCTTGGACGCTTAGTGAGGTTAACGGTTAACGTCCTCCTTCATTGATTCACTTGTCGCCCATTTTGACTGGTCGTTCCTTCTCGCTCCCAGCCGCTGTAGGGACCCGTCGCCCGCTCTTGCGCCGCATCAGCGAGAAGATCTGCAGCGTGCTGGGAGGGGTGCAAATCGCCTCCAGGAGCGCAGTGCCACAGGTCACCACCACATCCTCCGAGGGATGCCGGATTGGACGCGGATGGCATGCGGATGGCCCAAGGGGCCGAAATGGGCCGAAGGATGAAGAGTGTTAAATATATTGTTTGGGGGAGGGGGTGGGGAGGGTTCAGTCTTCTTCTATCTTTTTCTTGAGTGAAAAACAGTAAAACAAATTCAGCATGGTTCTCTGAAACATGTTGAGCCAAAGTCCACCCACTCACAACATGTTCTCATCTCCAATTCCACTATGAAGGCCCTCAACGAGGCTCCAGGGGTCCAGCCAACGCAAAGCACGTTTAAAAAACAAAACACGTTGTAAACAACAAGCGCAGTCGTCGTTGGCAATTGCCACACACACACACATATATACCTACATCTTCATTTGTACTGAAATTTCAGTATGAGTTGTTGGCACCCAATTCGGACGAATCTTGAGAACTCGGACGAATTTCAGTTTCAGGCTGTTTTTGGTAAGCATGGCTCAATCGTGATTGGGCTCGCTCTTTGCGCCCACCAGCCCGTGCACATGCACACCTGCTACTTTAAAACAAACTGGCATATTGACATTCAGCTTGGTACATGTACAGCTTTGGAATCATTTCCAAACAGCATCTATATATTATAGAACTTCAACCTCAATGAATTTCTAAACAACTTTTAGCTTCGAACTCGGACGAAAAATGACGAACACCTCATGAAATCTCTGAATCAAACTCGGACGGAAATTTCCGTCTGAGGAAGATCTAGCCCTGTCGCCGAGTGGAGCAACCCATCTCTTGTGGTCTCCTCCCCCGCCCTTCATCTTGCTGCTCATGTCAAGGGTCGAAGTGGCGGCGCCCGGCACGCAAGGAGGAGAGCCAGTCATGGCGAGTGGACAAGAAACTCTTGCTGAGATACTCCATCCGAGTCCCCTTCTCGAGAACCTGAAGAGGAGCCGTGCCGCGAGGGAAAAAAATCAGGGTCGGTCCGGAAGAGCAAGGAAACTCAAGTGCTGAGACAGGTCAGCTGCTTCGTATTGCTTCATGAAGAGAACATCACCTGGTTCTACCGGCTTGGTGCATGCAAAGCCTTGAAGGTATAGGCTTCAAAACGATGCTCATAGATCAGTCAAACGAGCCTCCAATTGCATTGCACCCTCTTCGGGGCTCAAATCCTCGCCCTTCGTCTCGACCAGGGTCGCCGCCTCGAGCTGCGCGCCCTTTTGGGCCAGTCGATCCTCAGCTGCGAGGTCTCGCTCCACGGGCTCAGCTAGTCAAGCTTAAGTCACATGTCTGGATTTTCTCATGACTAATCATGACCAATCATGACTCATGTGCAGCTCATGTCTGTCATCCGACGTGTCAGTCACATACATACTGGTGCCCGTTGAAGTTGATACATTTTTTCATGTGGGATACTAAACCACCATGGAACGCCGATCTGCAAAAGTCAGTACTTAAGTCAAGACTGCTGGCCTTCCCCATTGTAAACGCTACATACAGAACAAGGTTCTCCAGATTCACCTTTCCAAAAAGAGAAAACTTCAACTGCAAATCCCAATGGCAACGCAATTTGGAGAGCTACCCGACGTGGTAACTTACCCCATCGCACATGAACTTGACCCACCCCCATGGCACACCGCTTACCCACGAATGTAAGAACTTACCCCATTTGGACAAAATGGCACACCGCTTCGAAACAAGCACTTTTTCTCCTAGATTGTTTGCGATTCAACCTTCTACATGTTGATGTGTTCAAATGTTATCTATGGGTTGCCGTGATCCAATCCCCATGGCACCCCGATTCTGACCCACATGTTGGTACCAGCTTTAAGTTTCTACCTGGAGTGCAAACAGCATGGAACTGTTCTTTAAACGTCAAAAATATCTATGCATTCTTGTGTGTATTCCTCTCCCAATCCCCATGGCACACCGCTTCGAAACAAGCACTTTTTCTCCTAGCCTAGATTGTTTCTAAACCTACACCATTCCATTGCGATTCAATCTTCTACACGTTGATGGGTTCTAAGGTTTCCTATGGGCTGAAATGATCCAACCCCATGGCACACCGATTCTCACACACTTGTTGGCACCACCTTTAAGTTCCTACCTCGAGGGTAACCACCCAGACACGAAAGTCCTTGCAAAGCAGTTGCGGCAAGCAAATCACACTGTGACACCACACCACGACTAAGTCACGGCAGAGTCACTTAGTTTTCGCATGGGACACCGCCTTTCACCAAACAGGCCATCTAGGCCAAAACCATGCTTTCCAAGCCCAGTTTACAACCGGACACTGCCACAATGATAGGGTTTGTGCAGCAACAGCCAGCAGCAAATGAGTAGGCTTTGTAGCGCAGGCAGCGGCAGCAGCAAGCAGCAGCCAACCAGCAGCAAAACAGCACCAACAATCCAACAGCAGCAGAAGGTAACCAGCAGCGGCCAAACAGCAGCAGCAAACCAGCAGCAGCCAAACAGCAGGCAGCACCAAGCCAGCAGCAGCTAACCAGCAGTATAGTAGCCAACCAGCGCCAGCAAACCAGCAGCAACTGGCAGCAGCCGACCACCAGCAGCAAAACAGCGGAGGAGCAGCAGGAGCAGCAGCAGCACCCAACCAGCAGAGGCTAGAAACCACATCATCCCATGGCATACCGTTTTCACCAATCCCACATCACAGGAGCAAATCCCACATTATCCCCATGGCACATCGGCTTCCGATCTCTGCCAGAAGTATGCTAAGACCACGAAAAAACCATGGTTAGCTTGCGTTTTGCCTTCTTTGGTGTCTGTGCGTGCGCGTTCCTGTCTTTCAACGACTGTGCGGACACACTTCCGCATGGCACACCTGCGAAAAATGTGAACATGAACGCTTGAAAACATGAACCCTGCAAATGGCTCCTTGCCTGGGGGGGCATGTAAATTGAAGAGGCCTTTGCTTATATACACATATGTGTTGTGACAATGGCAATCCCCATCGCACACCTCTGGAGGTCCTGGTGCCTGGTGGGTTGGGCGAGATAGAGGGCGAGATGTGGGCGAGGTATTGGGCGAGATGAACACGTTTGCCCAGAAGACCCATGCCCACTAACACCCAAACACAAAAGTCCTTGCAATGCAGCTGTGGCAACCAATCAAAAACTGGGACACCACGCCGCGACTAAGTCACGGCAACATCCTTGCGATACTTGTTTCCGCATGGGGCACCGCATTTCACCAAACAGGCCTGCCACCAAGCTTGATATCACGTTTCCAACGCCCAGTCTGCAATGGAAGAAGCCTGCTATAATCATAGGGCGTGCAAGACAATGACAGGCAGCAAATGAGTAGGCCTTGTAGCCCAGGCCGCAGCAGCGGCAGCGACAAGCAGCAGCAAGCAGCAAGCAGCAGCACCAGCAGCAACCAAGCAGCAAGCAGCAGCACCGGCAGCAATCAGCCAGCAGCAGCAGCAGCCAACCAGCAGCAAACCAACAGCAGCCAACCGCCAGCAGCAGCAGTAGCCAACCAGCAGCAGCAAGGCAGCAGCAGCAGCAGCAAAAAACCAGCAGCAGACCGGCAGCACCAGCGAAGGTAGCCCAATCAAGCTTCCCCCAAGGGCACACCTCATCTGGCACAAGTTCATGCCTGTGCCCGCTTCACAGCGGAAGCCAGGTTTCCACGAGGACCCTGCTTCCGAGGGCTGGCCCTATAAGCCCTTGGAGGGTTGGACATATGAGACCCACAATCCCAAGATGAAGGGGAACCTATGGGCTGCCTATAGAAACCTCTAGAAACAACCTATGGGTTGCCTGCCAACTTCCTTGCGGTAGGTCTTGTGCAATCAAAACACTGTGAACGCTGAGTAAAACAAGCCCATTGAATAAAACCATGCATTTAGAAAACATCTTCCAACACACTCTATCCTGCAAGGAAACGCTATAGTGTATCGACTTCCTGGTTTGCTAATCACCTTCTATCTGCTATTTGAAAAAAACACGTCTCGACTTCAACAACTGGCAGTATCTCTTCCTTATTGGGTGGCAAGTTGATGCACTCAACAAATCTGTTCGGGGCGTCCATCCCCTTTACTCCGTGCACAGCCGTGCCCAAGATCAACAAAGTGAATTTGCTTGGGATCTCATTGATGCAATCTTGTCTACACAGCTGCAAGATGCTGTGATGCCAACGCGCTGATGCTTTCACTAGAGCTGACATATTCGTTTTGATCGAAGGGGGGGGGCTCTATAGATGGGAGGAACTTGAAAACTGAAACGAGTAGATTGAAGTGCAATGTCAATGCCATAATATCATGAACAAACATATTTGGGGACCGTGTCCAACTTCCAACTTCCCAAGCCATGTCTCGAGCAGTTGTTTCAAGACCTGTGCTGCCCCCGAGGACGCCTGACGGCGCCACCGCCGCGCCAGCCACCAAGCAGCTAGGAACCCCAGCGCCGCGAGCAGTGCCAAACAAGCTGCGCCTGTGGACGTTCGGGCGGCCAAAGGTAGGTCTCTTGGGGAGTTAAATGGTCTAGAGCATTTTTTGGCCCATATCTATCTCTGAAGTTAATACTGTAAACTTGAGAGCAAAATCTATAATCTATATATGTAAATATTGATATATATATATATATAAATATGATGCATGATTATATACTAAATTTCATGCATTTATATGCTATGTGGCTATGTGTTGCTACGTGTGTGTGTGTGTGTGCTACTACATCGAATCTGGGCGACATGTGCTTGGCTGCAGGTGTCACCACGCAACCCTGCCACAGGCCTGCAGGAAGACATGCAGTCATTAGATTGCATGTTCTTGCACTCGTTGGTTGGCTAAGTAGTCTCTCGCCTCTGCTCAAGACATCTGATCCTATCGAACTCGGCCTGCCCACTGGTGATTGAAGTGCACCAGCCGGGCCCAGGCCAAATATGAAACCAGGCAAGAAGCAGCCAGCTGGAGCGGCATCAGCCACAGTGGCCCGCCAATGCTCCCACCTAGCCAATCCCCAACGTTGTCTCCAGGAATTGAGATGAAAAGAACCCTTCGGGAGATCCAAAAAGGATAAGTATACACCAGGTTTTAGGCCTTTGGCTAAGATCCTTGGGAAATGACGGCGTTTGGGCTCCAAAGCTGGCCATATTTCAACACGTTGTCCAGCTCAAGGCTTGCAGCTTCCCGTTTTTGTGTCCCATGTGTTTGTGCGCCAGCTATCGCAAGCTGTGCCAAGTCACTCACCAGCTGGAAGCTCAGGATCCAAACCTCATGGAATGACTACAAGCAATGCCCCCCCCACTCGAGTGGAGGTTCCAACGGAAAGGAAGATGATGAAGATGAATTATATATCCGCCGACCCCGGCCTATAGCCAAAGCCTAGGCGGGGAGGCGCCTGGGACACCGCAGGGTGAAGCAGTTGGCCAAGTCTTCAAACCCCTCGGCAGTTTGGCCTACTCCTGCACCGCAGCCTTGCCCTCTTCCTCTTCTCGGGGCAGTTTGGCCTACTCCTGCACCGCAGCCTTGCCCTCTTCCTCTTCTCGGCAGCTCGCAGGCCTGCCTCTTCTCTTCTTATGGGCTTCCAAAAGCGACGTTAGGCATTTTGCACCGCCTTTAAACCCCCCCGCGCGCCTTCAAACCCTTCCCAGCGCCTTTGGCCTACTCCTGCATCGCAGCCGCTTGCGTCAGGCGGGAGCCTGGGGAGAGAGCCCTGGAACGTGCAGCCCGTGCTCCTATGGGCTTCCAAAAGCGACGTTAGGCATTTTGCACCGCCTTCAAACCCTCCCCCGCGGCTGCAAACCTTCCCCAGCGCGTTTGGCCTACTCCTGCACCGCAGCCTTGCCCTCTTCCTCTTCTCGGCAGCTCGCAGGCCTGCCTCTTCTCTTCTTATGGGCTTCCAAAAGCGACGTTAGGCACTTTGCACCGCCTTTAAACCCCCGCGCGGCTTCAAACCCTTCCCAGCGCCTTTGGCGTACTCCTGCATCGCAGCCTTGCCTTGCCTCTGCGTCAGGCGGGAGCCTGGGGAGAGAGCCTCTGGAACGTGCATCGCAGCCTTGCCTGCGTCAGGCGGGAGCCTGGGGAGAGAGCACCGCCTTTAAACCCCCCGCGCGCCTTCAAACCCTTCCCAGCGCCTTTGGCGTACTCCTGCATCGCAGCCTTGCCTTGCCTCTGCGTCAGGCGGGAGCCTGGGGAGAGAGCCTCTCGAATCTGTGGAGATGGAAGCTGAGAACTGGCGACTGCGTAGTACAACTTTAGTCCGCGGAGTATAGCTGTGGAGCTGGAAGATGAGAAGTGGCGACTTAGCAATACAACTTTAGTACGCAGAGTAGCTGGGGAGGGGGATGATGAGAACTGATGAGTGGGTAGTAGGTGAGAACTCGCGACTGTATAGTATAACTTTAGTACGCGGAGTAGCTGGGGAGCGGGAAGATGAGAACTGGCGCGTGGGTAGTACAACTCGAGGGCGTGGAGTATCTGGGGAGCTGGGAGATGAGCACTGGCGACTTTGTAGTACAACTGTAGTACGCGGAGTACCTGGGGAGCGGGAAGCTCAGAACTGGTGACTTTGTAGTACAACTTTAGTACGCGGAGGAATCTGTGGAGCTGGAAGCTGAGAACTGGCGACCGCGTAGTACAACTTTAGTACGCGGAGGAATCTGTGGAGATGGAAGATGAGAAGTGGCGACTTAGCAATACAACTCTAGTACGCAGAGTAGCTGGGGAGCACTATGTCCAACTTCGGTTGTTGCCTTCCTCGCCATGCTGCCTTGTCTCACAAAAAAGGGGTCGGCGGCACCAGGGCGGAGCCCTTACAATAATTGCGATACTAAGTAGATGATTGCACTGTGCCACACTGACATTAACCAACCCTTTCAGTCAAGCAAACGCCAAAACGGAGGTTTGCTTGCCGCCTCAGTCTCGCACGTGTCTTCCAAAACGATCACACATCAGCCATCATCAGCCCCTTAAACGATTGAAGTCCCTTGCTATTCAGGTGTGTGGCATGTAGTTACTGAAAAGTGTACGATTGAAGTCCCCGACTCTTCCTTACTGAAAAGTGTCCGTCTCGTTCGTTCATGTTATTTCATGTTCCTCCATGGCCAAGAGCTCTCCTCGCTGCCGAGGTGCAGGCATGAGGAGCGACGCCGCGAAGCATGTCGTAAGGTTTCCGTGGAGCTGCTGATGGACAAAAGCGACCTACAAACGCCATACACTCCCTGAACCAATCAGAAGAAGTGGATGGCATGGCCCCTGGAAGACCCTGTTCCTCTTTTTGAGGGGTCCTGCTCAGTCCATATAGCTTGCAGGCTTGTTGGAGGGAGGGTACATCGCCATACACTTAACTTAACCACACGTACACTCCATGACATGAACCTTCGCAAACGACTCATGATACTCATGCCACTACTCATGCCCGTAGCCATGCTGCTCGCACCTGGGCGAAGAACAATCCTGCTAGGAAGGCTGGAGGCTGCACCAGGTCCAAACCCAAATTCTCTGGCAAATGCTCCTGGCACAGCAAGTCCCAACCTGGGTGACGCATGGTGACGCGCTTTGGCAGCGGCAGCGGGGAACTGGTCGTCTGGTCGTCCGAATCTGACGAGTGTGTCCATGCCGAACTCAACCGTCTTGCTGTAAGGGTTGGACAGCAGGTTGCCGTTGTTGTGTGACGAAATCAATGGCAACTGCTTTGCTGCCAATCATGTCGGGAGGGTCTGGGTTTTTTGGAGATTGCACATGCAATACCATGGCTCGAATGACTGCTGGGAATAAGGCTAAGCATGCAAAAAAAGGGCTTCTACAACCGCCAGCTCTCCAAACAAAACTTGCCGTGAAACCCAAGACTGCTGTGAAGGAGAGAAAAGCCAGCAGCATGCCAGCTGCTCGCGAGGTCGCATCCTGCGCTTGCGGGTCCATCTGTGAAAGAAAGACCACAGCAGCCGGCAGCAAGCAACATCGTCGCCTGTCTAAAACAGGGAACCCCAAGCAGCCCAGATTCAAACTATGGGAGGAAAGGCCAAGAAGTGACACTATTTTGCAATATTCAGTTCCCTGCTGGCCTCGGAGAAGAGTTCCCCGCCCCAGCCTGTTCATTTTAGAAGTATTTTGGTCGCATTGACTGTCTGAGCACCAAGTCGCAATAGCTGGATAGCCATATGAAACTTGACAGCATCCACACAGCTCTTGATGGATGAAGACATGGCGTGCGGGAGGGACATCACAATGAGCCACAAAACTCCAACGCACGCAGCAACTATAAACCAGGTCCAGTTCATGAAGAGCGGCTCAAGGTACTCAACGCTTGCCAGCATCACACCCTCCCCCACCACAAACACGAGCACCAATCCATTGATCCCTGTCATCCGCATGGCATTCAAGTAGGCAGAAGGTGCCTGGCAGGTCTGACATCCTTTCCTCAGCAGGTTTATCGTGAACAAGACCACCTCCAACGCCCCAAAGATGATCACAGCCCGCTGTAAGGTCAGCAGCCATGGCAGCGAGCAAAGGCCTAGCCACAGGATGATTCGCAACCAGTGTGGCAAAGGCGTCAAGCCCCACGCGGGTATTAGCACAGCACAAATGCTGGCGCGGACCAAGCTTGTGTAAGTCTCCCAAAGGGTCAGAAGTGAAATAAGCTCCTTGGATCAAGGACGTGTTTGTTCTAGTCTTCAAGACTCCGCATGGGTCTTTATGAAGCAGTGCCATTGGCATGGCGATGTGTTTCAAAATCTGGCGAAGAATACTGTATGGTTGGTAGTGGTACATACAGTAATCAATATAGGTCCAGGATGGTCCGGGTATTACGCCATACATTCGCCATACCAACAGCCAACAGCAAGGCTCATTTCATCAAGAAAACAAGAAAACGACGAGGCTCCCACAAGGAGCTCAGCGCATCCTTGACAGCTCTCCATGCAGCGGCACGAAGGTCTTGCAAGCTCTTGCAGTACAAAAATGCAACCTGCAGGAACTCTAACGCTCGGACTAAGGTGAGAATGGCCAGCAAGCTTGCGAGGAGTGTGGTGAACAGCATCCACAAGTCCCACATCAAGAGCCTGGCAAGTCACGCATTCACTTGGCATATTTTTGGGCACCAAGTTGTTCAAAGCTCTTGGCTCACCTTCCCTAGAAACAATTTTGACCCTTGGAGGCAAACAACAACTGGTGCCTAGCTTGGCAGGTCAGCACCAAACGCACCCTGTGAGTCAGCATCGAGTGATTCTCGCGACAAAATCCTCTCACCATTGCGGGTACGCGGTACATAGAGGCCAAAAGGAGGAGCCCCAGGAGCAGCGCACCATAGTCTTTCAAGACCTTGAGGACGAAGGTCCGAATCAAGTGCCTCAAGTCGAACGTTTGAGAAAAAAATCTGTGATGTTGCTCTTCAATGGGTCCCCAAACTGCAACCTTTCAAAATTCAACAGCTATATATGCTTGAACACACAGTTGACATTCTGTGTGATTCTGTGGCAGCCACCTTCCCTGTCTTTTTGAGATTGAAAACGTGTTGCCTGTGCTCCTCCAGTGACTTCTGCAGCATCCCACATAGCAGGCCGACCTCTTCATCATCGTCAACCTTGACCGATACCTAAAAAGCGGTCGAAAACATCTTCCCCAAGAATTAAAATATTTATGTAATTATGCTTTCCACCAACACAGGCCAACTCAAATGCCCCAAATTCATCCAAATGAAATACAAAATATATTTATATATATAAATATACATATATACTGGGGACCGGTGACTTAGGACTTGTGGCCACCAGTGACTTAGGTTCAGCTGTTCCATACTCCTAAGTCATCAGCGAACGGCAATGTGCACGGTAGAAACCCTGTCCCAACTAAATGCTGATGACTTAGGACTAGTGTACGAGAAATCCAGGCGCCTTCATCATATATAATTAAAAAACATGTCCAAACTGTGGGGTGACACAGGGTGATGACATAGGCTGTTGTATTGTGTCTTTCGCATGTTCCCTCTAATGTCTGATGACTTAGGATCCATCCTAGTTTGTTTTTCTCTCTCTCCTAAGTCATGCTTTATGGCATCTGCAATCTGTCAACTAGTCCTACGTCATCACCGTCTGTGAGTGAATTTCACTCTTTTGAAGAATCTCCGGAGCTAACCATTTTTGGCCGCTTTTTCATTGTTTTAGCCTGATGACTTAGGACTAGTGCTAAAATGTCAAATTTTAACATTTCCTAATGACTTAGGATTAGTGTTTCTGCAGCTATGTCCGCCTAATCCTGGGTCACTTGCACCCAGTATATATATAAATATACATATATATATATAAATACACAGTATGTAAATACTTATGAAATCCATCCGCTATCCCGTCCAGCATTCACACTTGTGGCCATTTTTCTGCAAGAGGCAGGTTTCTGGCACAGCATGAGAGTTTGCACCAGATTTTCAAGCAACTTGGAAGAGTGCCCAAGCCAGCTTCCTATACTGGTGAGCATGAGGCTATTCAAGAGCTTCTGCATATCGACGCAGGCTACAGCGGTGGTTCTGCGTGCACAACAGTACGTCCCTATGTGAGAGACCTCGTTTCCCTTCCTGACGTGGGGACCGTGGGGACAAAACTTGTCCCAATTGCTGAGGTGATGGATCCAGTGGGTCGAGAAGTAGTAGAGGACGCTCTGAATCGAATGTTGGTGGATGAGGAGACCTGGGGTGGCATCGCTGAGCGGCACTCACGGTTTAGGCCATACATGGACAGGGTTCTTGCAAACGATCCTAAACAATACCAGCAATTTGTGCTAGATTTGTGGAGCAAAAACATGTGCAGTCGTTTTCACTCGTCAGCACCCTTTCACCTTGCGGCATTGTGGTCCTATGGAAATGAACAGGTTGAATTGAACAATACATCTCATTCAAACACCCTGCAATTTGATTTCTTCTCCCCGCCGTCCCCCTTTTGACCATGGGGGTTATGGCGGTTGGAACGTGCTTGTGCTTCTTCTCGGGCCTTGCGGGCCTCCTTGGAGATTGCTGCTTCATGCTTCAGCTCCCCAGCTACATGTGCTGCCAGGCTGGAGTCGATGCCGGAGGATTGTTTCTTGTACCTCCAACCCATGAAATGATCTGTGCTGCACTGCAGTCAGGTGCTGAAGGACTCAACCGATGAGCTTCCCGAATGACCTGCATTCTTCTCACCAACAACTCTGCCGACTGTAGCCCGCTTGGATTGAGTTGGTCAATGCACACCATCGACTCAAAAATGCGGGACAGGCACTCACGTTCATATGTACTCCGATCCCCCTTTAGAATCTCTGCTGTGCGCAACCAAAACTCATGAAATGACGACGGAGCCATGGCCTGGTCCCGAAGGCTCTTGCATATGTTCAAGGCTGTAGCTGGTCCTTCAAGTTGCAAACCACCTTGCTGGGGGGGCGCCCTCAACCATCAATGGAACAGCTGCTGCAAACTCTCTTCGACGCATACCCTGACCATCGAAAGACACTGGCAAAGTCCTGAAATCATCCAAGGCCAGTGTAGGAGAGTCAGCTTGCAACACCCTCTTCACAAAGCAACCTTCTAGGCGACCATCACGGTCAGGAACCACTGCACGCTCTCCAATCCGCACATGACCTGCAGGTAACGGAGCTGGTTCAATGCAAGTGACCTCCCCTTTTCGCCTTCCCCCGAAGCTTCGATTGCCACCCAAACGTAAATCCCAGGTGCACTGGACCTGGCCCTCCGTGCCCACCTGCCCCCACCCCCAACACTCCGGCAAGAGGTGGAGGGACAGGCGGAGCTCCGGCTGGAGGTACAGGCGCTGGGGCTGCCACTGGCAAGACCTCGTGCAATCCGTTCAGCTTGTGCCTCAAGCTGAGCATGTCGCATCTGATTTGCCAGGTCTCCGGGCAACAAGGGTCTGAACCCATACACTGCAGCAGCTGGAATACGAGCGGGGATGTCGTGTGAGCTTCCAAGAAATTCAAAATCAACATAATCTGTGTTGTGGTGATCCATCTGCTCAATGTACCGATCTAAGTCGGGTCGGGAGTCAAAATCACCCACTCATTGTTGTGAACCTGAGCTAACAACACTCGAGTGTGCCATTGAACCGGCAACTCGCCGTAGTTGACAAGGGCCAAGTGGCCAGGCTGCATCCCTCCCACTCAAACAGGGGTTTTCGGCCAAAACCACTCTTTCGAACGTTTGGCCAGGGGCACTAATCCACCAAGCTCAACTTGCCGGTGGTGCCAAAGACACCCTTCGTGCCTTTTTGTGGTGAACTAGGAGATGAAGAGTGCCCCCAACCTAATCCCTTCTCAAAACGAAGAAAGCCGGCAGCCAACACAACTAGAATGATCACGCTCACGCCCAACAAGAATGTCCAGATCGCCGAACCTCCCAACTCACAGCTGCAGTGACAGGCACAGTGGCAAACCGAGGACGCTTCGTCCTTTTTCCAGCGCTGCCCGAGCGTGCCACCCCGCCAGTCCACCGACGAACAGGACAAACACTGCGGACGGGGATTGGAAGGTGTCCATGGGCCTAACTGACACCTGGTTTTTGTCTTGAGCATTGAGGTCACGGCCGTCAACGCTTCTTGTTTCATTCTTGTCTTCTAGACTTCTCATATCTTATTTAAGAGGTTTCAAGGCCCTGCCACTCTTAAAAGCACTTCTCTGCTTGACTCATCATGAGCGTTGCTGTTTCGGCATCTAGCTACCTCGAAGTCCCAGTGCTCCAACTCCGCCAGCAGCTGAACGATCAGCTGTTCCGCTCGAAGGTGTGCAGTACGGATCTTCTCGAGCGCGAACGCATGCTGGTGGGGGTTGATGGTCTCCTCCAGGAGCCTCGGACGTCCGACTCACTGGTGGACTCACGGACGGACTGGAGTAAAGCAAGAGGCGCCCGAACGGGAGGCTTTTTGAGCGAGGCCCAAGGGGAACAGGAAAACGTGGTGGCAGGAAAGACCGTCTTGACACTTGTTTAAAACAGTCCTTTTAGCATACAGGCTGGTTATCGGAACTGGCACGCTACCGCGATCTCCGTGGAATTGGCTTTTAGAATGTTCATGGAAAAGCAACAAGTCCCACAGCAACCGGATTCCTGCATTTTCTGAGGCACGAGTACTTCCAAATACAGTTCAAAGCAACTGAAGGTTCGCACCCAGAATCAAGCCTGGCCAGTAGCTGGCCACAGCATCTTGCAGAGAGGAGCACCTCCGCTTGCAGCAATCGAATTGAAGGAGTTTACGGGTTCCACACCATGTGATTCTTCAAAGGCATTGTGAGCATTTGAAGAAATCAATTCTGCCAGCGCCCCACCACAAACCAATATGCGCCTGCATGCGCCCGTCTAGCTTTGCTTTTCTTTTTGACGTCTTGTATAGGGGGTCCAGCTAGCATCAGGACTGACACCTCCATGAGCACTTGCAAAATGACTCATAGGTGGGACGCAGCTACTATTGAATACCTCACGTCACGACGAATCCTTTAAGAAACAACTCCATGAGTTTCAAGACCTGACATTGCGCTGCGAAGTTGCACGACCTTCGCTGCTGACTGGCATGGGATGGCCATGCCTGGCCTCAGGGCCTTTTTCGCGAACTCCTGGGTCTCCGGATGTGCCTCTAGCTCTCGGAGCAAGGACGCACCCGTGGGCCAGGTGGTTTGTTGCATCAGCTTGGAGGCCAAATCTCCCAAGCACTGGGAGGTCCTCGTTTCCCGCGAGACAACGCGAATTGAGAATTTTGCACCCAGCGAGTGATCCCACAAAAGAGGATAGAATCAAACCAATTGGAGGGCCTCTATAATCGCAAATCAGGATTCATGCACCCAATCGTGCTCCGTAGTAGCTTGTCCCTACTCTATAGGTTGGTTGGATGCTCCCTTCGGCATAAAAACATCACTGCAAAAACATCCAAATTGCCAGGTTTTGCTTGAACTATGGTTATATATAGATCATTATAGATCCATGCAGTTGTCAGTTGTCATATCATTCATGGAACTCTAGGTCAACCATACCTGCAAGTCAGTCCGAGTCCTGCTAGGAGGATCCTTGGCCGCAGCATTCAAAGCTGGCTCCAGCCCCAGGCCCCGGTACATCCTCAGCATACTGTCCTCAGAAGGTTCGGTCTGAGGTCGCAGCTTTTGAATAAAACAGTCTAAGGCTTAGTATAAGGCCTCCCATTCTGTCAACCGTTTGAATGCTTGTGCTGAAAACTGTTGATCGAGTCTTGCGCCACATCGACATTGGCTTGGACAAAGCAGAGCAAGAAACTGAATTTAGGATAATTTAGGAATGTACCCGGGAAACTGCATGGGAGAAACATGGAGAAACATAGAAAACAATGGCAAAAACCTATTATAGTTTATAGGAAATGCAGGTACAACATGTTCAGAGCGCTATGTGAACAACAATGGAACAGTGGACAACCGGTGAATTGGTCATTGAGTCATTCTATTTGCTCATGAGCGGAAGGAACTTTTAGGTGCCGCGCAGGGTCTTACAATCAGGTGCAAAGCCTCCAAGTAAGTAACTTAGTAGTATTTTTGGGACACGTTAGCCGTTAGCCTCGGTATATAGCTGTTTAGTTTGTACTGCGGTAGCTACTACGGTCCGTACCTTGGTCTTCCATTCCAGATCAGCCATGACAAGTCAACGCGGAATTGCGAGTGGCTTTCGGATCAACCTGGTAATGTGTGAGGGAATCTTGGAAAGTCTGATCAAAAGAATAAACGAGTAGGTTCATATATATATATATATGTTCCAAATAGTGAGGCCTTCAATATTGATACAAATCATACACCTTGCATGAGCTCTGTTGCGGAGCCATTGCCGTTTCCATGAGCCTGCAGCTGCGGGAAATTTGACAACACAACAACACATTACCAATGACTTTATCAATAGTTCTTGTCTGGATTTCAAGGTCTTTTGCTGGGGCCGCGAAGTTCGTGGGACATAGATTCCTTCTCTTTATCCAGAACTAAGCTTCAAGTATCAGCACGGGGCGGTCTGAGAGAAAGCACAATGCTAACCCTAATCAAGCTTCCTTGAGATATAGAACGCTGACCATCTGGCGAGTTAGCTTGCGTAGCCAAGCCTGAGAGAGGCAACTGACACAACATGAGATCAAAGGGAACAATATATATATATATATATTGATCAAAGCTTCCACTGAACACCAAAATTAAACAGAAGCAAACGGGACAAATTGAAGCCCCAACTCGACCAAAATATGCTCTGCACGTGCACCTCTATGCAAACTTTAACCCCTTGAGGTCACCTGTGAATATCCAAGGAGTTCCGCACACTCAACTACGCATACGTACGCCAAGCACCTCCAAGATTGGCTCACCATAGGGCACTCGTGGCCACTTAAGCCTACAATCCCGGCCTGATTTGAAGAGCCCGCGAAGTAGAGGTACTGCATGAGGCGCAAGGGTGAGGCCAGTAGCAAGAGGAAGAGCAGCCTAAGACTCAAGGAATGAAGACTACCTGGTTCTCATACAGACCACCAAGTCCGCCAACTCTTCCTGTCTAAAACTCTTGCCTTGGAAGGCAATATAAAACCAAAGTCAGCTGAGAGACACCACACAGACCCACTTTCAGGATCAGCTGAATCCAGAATTGAAGCCAAGCAGCAAATGCAATAAATCCAGGACAAGCTGCCACAATTCGCGGAAAGCACATATCCAAAGACCGTTTCCTTGGAGGTGCACAAAGGACTTGGGCTATGGGCCATGGGCAGAGGTCTCAGCACATTGAACCCATCATAATCCATCTATCATGGTCAGCCGGCTCAAAGATTTTTCTAGAGAAGTTTCGAATGCCCGATCCAGATAACAAAGGCCCGCAAACGGCTTCTAGAAGATCTGGCGATCTGGCAGCAGCAATGAACTCCTCTGGAACCTGGACCGGCTTTTTGGCAGTTAAAACTCAAAGAAGCACAGCGCCACACCACTTTCTGAACACGAACGATGGGAACCTTGCAGCGGCTTGGCTACTCTTGGAGACAATCGAGCGCTCAATTGGAGTCATGAAAAAGAGAGGCTACTGCAAGAGTTGAAGCGAGTTACGGCTTCACGATTCGGTCTGGTGGGCCATGGCATCTCAAAGCTTTTCTGGTGGGTGTATCTTGTTCCTAGTAGCGTTCTTGCTCCTAGTAGCGATGCCAGGAGCCCCTAGTAGCTTCTTGTTCCTAGAAAATGCCAGAACTTGCAAATGTGTGCGAAATGGAATGATTTGGCAATACCCCACCACCATTCCCTACTCAGCCCCATGAGCGATGCGAACCCACCGCATGGGCGGAACGTTGGCCAAACGGAAGCCGGTCTAGTGGAACACGTGGCAGGTCATTAAAAGTCATCCTGATTGAATGATGATTGGATATGTCACCCGACCCCCATGTCACCCCCTATTCTTGAAATCATCTACTACATGATTCAATCCAACGACATTTACATTTCTTCTGCGCAGCCGGTTTGACAGCATATGAAGCATCCCACGCCTGCACAACGGTTTCAGGACGTCGTATCGCATCGTGCAGGACACGTGCTGGAATCGGAAGTCGCCCCATGACCTCCTCCGTACCATCCGGCGCTCTGTGCCTAGGGCAGTCTCTCTGTGTTGTTCTACTAGGACAATATAACATACTCTAACAATTTTTGTATTCCGGCCAGCGGCCCGCGGCCACCGACCAGCGGCCACCGACCTGCGGCCACCGGTCACCAGCCACGGCCGATTCCACGTGTCATGTATTGTCATGTTCTTTTCCCGCCAGGGTGCTCGATCTGCACACACATGGTCATGTCTCCATCCAGCTGCAATAGCCGTTTCTTCAGTTCATCCCCACCAATCTTCAGCTCCATCTGAACAGCTTGAGGCAGGAGGTCATTGTACCTGCTCTCCATGCTGCGGCGCGCAGGTCAGCGTCGTTTTTTGATGTTTTTTGGGCTTGGAAAATTTAACCAGCAAATAGTTGCGAGCATAGACCAGGTGCTCGAAATGCTTGCCTTCCTGAAGAGTGTAGGGCAGCAAGGCTTTTCCCAGGCTCGACACCTGGAGCGAGGTATAGAGGCCCCGAGGAGGTGCCACTGATCGATTAGCACCTTCGATTTGACCACATGAGGGGAACCATGTTCCACCAGGTTCCACCTATACACTCTCCCGAATTGGGGCCTTCCAACTGGCTGGTTGGTGCGGGAACTCTTTCATAGGGGCCTTTCCATCCGCACCCCGTCCGACTCCACTGAACCAAGCCACCGCCGTCCCAAAGACACGACCGATGTCTTCCCAAAACGCTTGCGAGATGACGTTGATGCGAATGACGCCCAGTTCGTTCCTGACGGCGACCAATGGAAACGTTCGACGTGTCTTTCCACCCTAGCAACCAAGGGAGACAAATAACTCTTATCCATCATACTTATCCAAGAAACGCTGAGGCAAGCTGAGGCCTTTGGAAATGTGGTTGGTCCAATTGGTGAAATCAACCTCACAAGCCCTCCCACAGTAGCGAAGGACGATTCGGACCATGTTTGGATGAATTCCTGGCCTTCTCACGCCACCCCTTAAGCCAAAACACAGCCCCTGCTTCCCCGATTCCGACCGTCGGACCCGTCACCGGAAAAGCTCCTCTGTTGAACCGACATGCCTCAAATCCTTGGCACCGTGGGCGCGTGACGCGTGGCGGGTTTGACGCCGCGCGTGGCACGCCAGGCGTCCGCTTTCGAGAGGACTCTTGGTCCGCCGCCACGTACCAGGTGAGCCGGTCGTCGTTGGGCGCGGCCACCTGCACGCTCCGCAGCGCCAGGCGCGGCGTCCCGGTGGCCGGTCCTGAGCCGAGTCCAAGCCTTCAGGCACGTGAGAAAAAGAACTGCAGAACTTGAAAAGTCTTAAACTTGTTGGTGGATTAGAATGAAAACCCTAGTTTAGAATATTTTTTACCATCAAATCTGTTAGAATGAACCCTGAGATTGATTGAAAATACTGTGCGTGGAAAAATGTAGCAAACATCGATATTGTAGCTGATATGAATTCTGAGTTCCATCATGTTCAACCTCCGCGCCGGATCAAACATGATCAACACATCATCACTTGGATGTCGGACATGTGGATCCAGCCATCTCAACAAGGTTTCAACACGGAGCGACGGCCAATGCACCTCAAATGGCTGTGGGTCAAGTCACCCCGACGCTACCGAAAACACGAACATCTGTTGGTTTCGAAAATCCCGCCGCAGCTTCAAGGCTTGCTTGGTTTTAGACCTGTCCCTCATGGGCTTTGTAATATGGTTTTTGAATGTTTTTGACTGATCTTCATGAACGGGTGAAGGGTTTGCAGCCTGCCCTACATAGTGTCAAAGCAATGCAACCCAGGAACACCTACCAGTAGTATTGGAAGTGGATGTTGGACTACCACCCCCCACGCTTAAATACATTGGAAGTAACCCAAAATGGCATCGGCTGAACACCAGAATGTACCCATTGTGGCGCTCACAGCGAATCCCCTTGCAATGGTGCGGATGGGCGGCTGGCGCGTTGAGCATAAATGTCCAAAAGCACCTGGCAGACACAAACAATCTTGTAGGGAAGACACTGCGCAGGTTACAATCTGCCAAGTTTTTTTGTTGGAGCAGAAACCACTGCCCAGGGCATGCAACACCTCCAAGATTATCCAAAGGAAGCGCTTATCAGGCTTGTTAGTCGATGTTTTCTTGCAATTCCCCTGTGGCACAACCTGTGCCACCAAGACTCACTCCGAACTGTGAAACTCTCTGAACTCGCTGTGAAGACTCTCTTCGTACTCGTCTCTCCTCCCACCTTGGGAAGCCTCACCAGAGTCACGGCCAGAATTAGCAAGGCGACAAAGGCAAGCATGTCGCGAAGGAGCTCCAGAAACTGCAGCGCCACAACTTTCCTTCCTGGACCGGCACCGTTGTAGCCCATCGGTTTGGTGGGAAGGCAACATAGCCAACTCATGAGCTTTTGGGGGGATCAGTCAGTGTTCCTTGGGACCTCGGGACCTCGGAGAACAGACCAACTCTAAGAGACCTCCGTTCGAGGGCAAATCGTTCGTCACGGCTCTATGAACTCACAGTGTCTAAGCGATCTGAAACCTTGGTCCATTTGTCACATGTTTTTTGCCCCCAAAGGGCGGGTGAACACAAGGTATAGTGTGAATGTATAAATCTGAAAAATAGAGTGACATATGTGACATGCTCCTGTATCGCAAGGGGGGTTATGTTGAGGAAATGGGATTAGGAGGGCTTCATCTGGCCCAGGTTCCCTCACAGTCGCTTTCAGCGTGCCATATCTCTTGAAGCACTAAATCAGCCCTCCAGACTGTGAGGAGTAGGATCAGCAAAAGGGGCAGCAGCGGCAAATCCAAGAGAAGGTGCCCAATTTCCTCCAAACATATCAAACATATCAATCAAACATTGCTGTGTGAGTGTGTCAGTGTTTCTTGTGGTGAGTTGCGGTGGCCAAATCATGCCAAATCTAAGGACATTAAAATTAAAGACTTGGAAATCATTGCCGCAATTCGCTGTGATGATATTACAATGTGACATTGCTATCACGCAAAAGGTTTACTCGTTGACACCGTGTCCTGCCATATCTTCAAACGCATTCTGGAGCTGCTGCTGGTGCTGCTGTCGCTCTCGCTGCCGCTGTCACTGTCGCTGCTCACACCTTGACGCTGCAGCACACGAATCACGCGCGGGAGACGGTAGACGGTAAGGAGGAGTGTCAAGGAGCATACTGCCAGGAAAGCATCATGCATGATCACCAATGAGTTGCTCACAACTGCGACATGGTACGCCATAGCTCCATAATTCCTCCCGGCGTTCGCCAAAGCCAGTAGCTGGACATTGAAGTGGCTATTTTCTGCTTGTTGAACAAAGAGGCCTCTATGCATCTCTATGTCTACATAGTCTTGCTGTCCCGGTCCTTGCTCTCATCCTCTCCATAAGATGCTGCGTGGCGCTACAGCGGTACCCGGTTAAAAGCACCAAAATCAAACTTGGCAGAGTCAACAGGTCCAAAAGCAGCAAGGCAAATTGCTTCCTCGTTTCAGTGAACGGAGGAGAGCAGGAATCATGCAAAATGTCAGAATCATACCTCCAAAAGGCCGTTCTTTCAAAAAGACGTGTTCAAAGCCAAGCCAATACAAGCTCAGCCAAGCCTTGCAGTTCCCGACAGCGCGTTGTTTTGGACCCAACAGCTCCAGCGTTTCGATCGGCGAAAAAACACCCCACCGTTTCGTGTGGAGAATCCGAACCCTTCGGGACTTGGAACCCAACGCACTTTCACACGTTAACCCGAACAACAACTGAGGGCCGCCTTTTTTTTACAACACAAAGGGCTTGTTTCTGGCCAAGCTTCATGATGATGGCATGAATCCGGGAGATGGGAAGAGACTCCTCCAAAATGGGTTCACCAAGCTCGTCGTAGCCCCAAAGGGCCTTCAGCAAGGGGCCTGCGTTGGCACCAGGACCGAAAAGAACGCACCACAACAATCGCACAAACATTGACAAATGCCACACCGCGGCTTTCTGAGAGCCTTTAAAGTTGACAAACTTTACATGACTTTGCATGTATATGGCATGTATATGGTAACAAGAAGCTACTAGTAGCTAAGGGCACTACTAGGAACAAGTGCATCGCTATTAGTAGCTAATTTACAACTAGTAACAAGAAGCTACTAGTCCCTTCTTCTCCAGAATATGGGTCCTAAGTCGAGGCTCTGGAAACGCTTGTAAACTAGCAGCTAGATGGTGGGCTATGTACCGATATGGCGCTGCAGCCAGACCTGCTCGGTAGACTGTGAGGCCAAGAACTAGTCCCACTGGGAACAGCAAGAAGTCCATTAAGGATGCCAAACCTGCGGGCGCTGTCGGGGGCTTAGCCGGGCACAGCAACACCAGTGTCAGGGTTTGAGAACAATCCACATCATGGATTCGGATTTGGATGGGCTGAGGATAAACCTTGACAAATGGCTTTATGATAGCACTTTGATACACCTTGTGTTATATCAGTTTATATTCATGTATATTCCACAAAAATACAAACCATAGCCATAACAAACCTCGACTCGAACCAAGTCTTGTCTCCTGCCTGTCTTGATCGCAATCCCGCGCAGGTGTGCATTCCAGCGCGCAGCAGACTGAACTTCAGAGTCGAAACAACAGCAAGATTCCGGGTCGGCGTACCAACTTGAGGAAAGAAGCTGGTGCAGCGTGTCTGCGCGCAAAGGATTCAACATGGCAGCATAAGCCAACAAACCAGCCATCACGTCAACCAACCTTGGGACACACGACCAAGATGCTTGGCACAACTCTCACTCAGAATCTTCCTTCAAATCTTGCATCTTGATTGTCATAGACTCCATATCTTGTCTCAGCCAACGTCTGACTCTGCGGGCGGAGTGGCGACAAGACTGGAAGAAGGAGCAAATAGCAACGCGCTTCCCAGTCACTCGTTTTGTCATGAAATCCGTGTCTGAGAAAGAGGACCGACAGCAATGCCATAAGTCCTGGATGGTCGCTAGTTGGCCAGCCAACTTTGCAAATGCTGTTGACCAAGCTCACCCACAAAGTTGCAAAAAGGTGTAAAATGCGAAAAGGAAAAAAAACATGGACATGATTGAGGGTCGTGTTGGAACACAAAGTGACACCAAAGCAATCGCAATGAAGGGCAGGTCAATGATGGCACCAAACCCAGCACAAAAAGCCCAATCACCTGAGCATCTGGAACCAAATGCAATTAAGGATCCAAGGCAAAACGGTGTCAAATAGACCTTTTTCAGTCCTTTTCAGTCTGGTCCTTGTTTTTCTTATTCCACGTTCGCCACAGTAAGGCCCAGCGACGTATGGCCGAGAGCTGCTCGCCACAGGTGTTGCGGTGCGAGAGTGTGCGCTTCAAGTCCTCGGTGTGCAGCGAGGTGCATCGCCAGGGTGCCAACAGCAAGGCCAAAGCGAAGGGCAACGCCAGGAGATCGAAATAGCTTTCCAAGGCATGGAGGAACCAGACCTCTCCTTGGATCAAAGGAACGATCTTAGCTGAAAAATGGGAGCAGCGAAGCATGGGAAAACAGGCGTTTCAAGAAGTTGAAAAGGCTCATCTTCGCAAGCTACAGGTGTATAAGATTGTATAAGACTTACTGCATGTCATATGTCCATTATACAATGTGCAGTATACTGTGCTTGTCACTATCGATATGAGCCTGGAAGCTTTGAGATTCCACATTGAACTCTTTATGAAAAACATGCAGCATACTGTTCAACAGCGTTTTTGCAAGACGGGATGAAAACACCACACTCCTCCTCAAGCTAGCACGGCCACCGCCCGCGAGTTTTCGCGCAGACCGTCCGAAGGCGACTCCTCCGAAGGCGACTCGTCCGTGCCACGATCCAAGCCACTGGTGTGAGTGTCGTAGTTTTCATTGCGATAGAGTGGCCCAACTTCTCGCCGCCCTGCCTTGACGGCCGAGCACACGCCTGGCCAGCGGGGGAACCATAGCAAGGAAGGCAGCACCCAAATCAGAAGAACCTCACGTGGCCGGGCCAGCGGATTCGGAGGTCCAAATGCTCATCCAATTTGTCTTGACGCATCTTGATGCATTCAGAAAGTTGTTAAAAGTAAGAGTTTACAAAATAGAATGTCGGCTAAGGCAGCGTGGGTGGGGAAATTGTCCATGCTTTCGCTCAGCCACCAAGTCCAGCAAAGAGTAGCCGAACTGCGACGCGCATTCCGTCTGGAACAGGTACAGGCTCTCAGCTTGGAAGGCTCCCAGGAGAAAGGGAAGGCGTCAAGGCACACAAGCCGCAAAAAGCAGCAAGACCAGGCAAATAATCGTTAGAGTCACGTCCAAGATCCATCCTTGGACTCATACAGGAAAGCAGATTCATGATTCATTGCTATGTTAATTATACAGAGTTAGTATGAGTTAGCCAGTTGAAATGGTTCTTGAACCAAGAGTTGAAGACTTTGTTAGATTTCCTTAGCAACCCAGGCTCTGGCAATCTGCAGCAGGACGGCAAAGAACTCCTTCAACTCACTGGACATGGCGTCCCACTCCTCGCCTCTGCAATGAATTATGATGAATTGGTGTCGCTGGCAAATGATGCGGACATGGACGTCACACCAGGACCAAGACCTAATGCCCGCGATCCAAGCCGGTGCGATCCGGATGAATCATCTCGCAATCTTGTTGTGTCCGCTAATGGAGAATCCGGAGTCTCCGCCATTCCGTTCTTCTCTCTAAGACCGGCCTTATATTTTCCGCAGCACTTTCTCTGCCAGTGGCACCTTCAAACTCCCATGGTCGTTTTGCAGGTGTCTCTCTCTCTCTCTCTCTCTCCGAGTTTTACAGGCGGGGCCTGGTGCTCGTCAAAACCCACAACACCCTCTCGAGTTCGAAAACTCCAGCTCTGGCCGACCAATCTAACCACTTTTCCACTCTCAAGCTCCAACCCCGCTCAAAGCTGCCGAGCTTGCAAATCACCTTCACCTCCCAAACATAACAACAGCTTCCTCTTGCCTTTCTGATAACCTCCTCCAACCCATCCGCTCCTCCAAAATGCTGACCCTGACCTCCGCAACCCACCAGGCGCTTCCCGGTGTTTCTTCACAGCTCTTTTCCGCCCGCAGCTCTTTCCGCCCCGCACGCAACGCGGCGTGGAGGCGCTCGGCCACCTCGGAGCACTGGCTGTAGGTCTCCTCGCTGGAGACCTGAGGTGTTTTATGGGCGAACTCTGGGCAGTCACGGACATGACCAGCTCAAGAGTGAACTTTTTAAGAGCTCGGGAAGCAAAACTGGGTGTTTGCGTTCGATTTTGCAGGTCTTGTCACGGGTGCTTTAGTGTTGCTGATGAAGCATCCTGCGTGAAACAAAGTGTGATGCTGATGCAGGGAGGGCATGCAGCACCTCAGCCTTTCTGCAGCCGTGTGTTCTCCATGCAAGCCCATTTGTCCCCATGGCCCCACACATCGTTTCTTTTTTGGTTGGATTGTGGGCCAACTATCCTTGCATATGTGACACACATATCATATGCGCAAACAGGTGCATTAGAGATGTCTACTCGTTTACTCCCACAGTTGATGCTTTTCCATGTTTCCCTCGCTGCTTCCTGGCCTCAACTTCTGGCTGATCACAACTAGTGGCCCAATGTCCAGGTCTTAAGCAGCGGTGGCAATGCTGATGGTCATACCGGCAGTCATTGCCCTTCGAGCACACCCCATAGTTTGCAAAGCGGCAAATCTCCAGCCCATGAGGCGTCTTCTGGATAGGCCGCTGTAAGATCTGTTGCATGCGCCGGGGCGCTTTCGCCAAACGTGCCGGTGGGCAGCACAACTGCTGCCACCAAGCCAACCGCTTCTGTGGATCAAGGGGAGCCTTACTAAGCTCCATGGCCAAGGCTTCACTTTTCACAGCAAGGTATCGCAACTCGGCCATGTGTGCAAAGAGCAACCGAAAGAGCTGCAACACATGGGCCAGCTCACGGTTGCCACCGATATCAGCAAAAACCACCGTAAAAGGAGGTTGGCAGGAGGCGATCGTCCTCAAGTACTCCGGGTGTGCCAAAATATCCAAACGCAAGCTCCGTGCCACGGCGACCTAAGCACGACCACAGGACTTGGCCGAGGATCAAAAGAAATCATTGCCATACCCAGCCCCCTCGTGGCCTTGTATGTTCACTCATGTCTTTGATGCTCTGTGGTTGTACTCGATCAAAGAACTCTAGAGGATATTCCAACTGCTGTGTGTTGTAGGTCGTGACAAACAAAGGCGTCAAAGATTTGTTAAAGTGGGTGGTACAACCCCGCGCAGGGGGTTTGGATATAACTATAGGCCCGTTAAAGAACCCATCTGCTACACTCTACACTCCCTGAAATAACTAATCATGGAAGTGGAAGCACCAACTGTGTGGTATTCGGACCATAGTCATCCAAGAAAACCATGCCATCTACTTCCATGATTGTTTCAGGGAGTGTCACAGTGGTCTATGAGTCTATGGGTTTGTGCCCTGTACCGCCCAACCCCCAGAACTCTTTTTGAACATTTAAAGGCCTTAACAAATCAGCCTGGGGGTATACTCAACGTACTCAATACTCTTTTGGACCGACTGCCACTCCCCCACCTCCGCCTCGCTCAAGCGCTGCGCCGTCAGGGCCACGCACTCCTCTGGCCGCGAAACCGGACCCTCCGGGGGTATCCACAGTACTGATCCGCCTTGAAAGCCCACCTAGTCTGCCTCACACCAGCTTGGGTTTTCCGGCTGGTCCGCAGGATTCAGGGCTCACGAGGGTCCTAGTGGATTGCAGCAACCTTTTTGTTGGTAGCTGGTCATTGGCTGCAGACTACTGAGAGATTGCTGGAAGAAGTGGGGTCTCCAGAACATGTTTTTGAGATGTTCGAATCCCTGCAAAGAAAACGATTACTATGACGATATCCTATGATGCTAGCGATACATGTTTCGCACTACCTACTGGTGTTGGAGCCAAGCCACTCGTGAAATCCAAACCACCCGTTTTTGTCCAAGATATGTAAACTGAAACCATTTCCAAACAATAGCAACCGTTATGTATACTGTACACTGTATAACATGTTATCAGTATATACTATATAACTTAACCACAAAATATCACAAAAAAAACTTCTATATACAGAATTCATATATGATTTCATTGGATTTCCCAAAAAAAAACTAGTGCATCTCCCATAAGAATCTCCCTTTTCCTCCCCGCATGAATCTGGGGGCCGCTGACCACCCTTCTCCTTGGAGGTGTCCAGTGCCAAGACCTCCGCGGCGCCCGCGGCCAGGAGCTCGGTGCATTGGCCGAAGCAGCAGCCGATCTCCAGGATTCGATCCTTGGTGTGTCGTGTGGGTCCGCTCGGTGGCTACGACGGACGGTGGTCAGAAGAAAAGAACCAGAACCCCCGGGGGTTTTGGCACGTCGTGGAAGCACCCTGCAAGAACTTCGCAGTTCTTTGGTTTTGAGGCTGAAGTCGTACGAGTGTCTTTCGCAAACAGGCACTGTCACTGTGGATGTCTAAGGCCACTATCTCTAAAGAAGCTTATTTGGGGAGTGGTCCCCCCTGGAGCCTGCCCCCAACTGCACAACCATCCCGGCCAAGGCAGCCCAAAAGCTCCTGCATGAGGTCGACACTTGGCCAGTTGTCGAAAGCTTCGTGTAGAAGCCACCACCTCCACCTGCAACATGAAGCTGGGCTGTGGGGTGGGCTGGTAGAATGGGAGATCACATGCGCGACTAGGTAGTGAAAGTGAAACAAGCGACACATGATTCATCTTGGTTTCCTCAACTGACGTCCCAAAACTTCCCGACTTTGTCTCGTACCTCTGCTTCTTGAGCCCAGCCTGTGGCTTGGGTTCTGTGGTGTAAGGCTCAGTGGGGAGATCCTCCTCTGCCAGCAGCTCGGGCAGCCAGGGCGTGCCATCCGCTGATCTCGATGAGCCGACCGCCATGAGCATGTCGTGCTTGCCACGGGCAATTGATGAGATTGAAATTGATGGATTTGGCTGGAGGAGGAGCCAACAAACTTTGGTCGAAGGACGAGATTTAGTTATAGTGCAAAAGGCTGAACATCCCAGCAGGATTCTGCTTTGAATTTGTCTACATTCTGATGCATCTTGGGGATGGCCCATTGGACGCCGATTCCATCAATTCCCTGAACCATGGTGCCAACAGGATCCTTCCGGAACAACAAACCCAGCGATTTGTGCTACTCTATGACCTGGATTTGGACTCTCAGGCAAAATTGGTGCAATTCTAGTCCAAATGCACTTCTTTTGCAGGGCTCAAGAACGACGAAAATAGAACAGCTCTTCACAACTCCAGTTCACCCCTGCCAGGCAATTCAACCCAACAAAATGTGCGTTCACAAAGACATGGCAACAAGGCCCCGGTTTCAAGCTCTCGACGTACGGGTGAAACTCTAGCCCTGCAAATTTCACTCCAATTCCAGGCGACCCTACGGTCCATCAAATCGCAAAAAATAGGCCTTCCCAAGTAGGAAGGCCATACAGTACTTTGCCAAGCATCAAGTCTGACAAGTCTGTCCCCTTCTAAGTCTGATTCTTGGCACACCCTACACCGACTTTGCTCGCATTTTTTGGGTCTGGCATCCATCCGTAGTGGAGTCAGGCTGCCGCGCTGCGTTGAGGCATCCTAGGAGTGATCCGCCAGGCAAAGAAGGATTGTCCAATTCAAAGAGCCAAACTCGGAAACCACGTCAATCTCACCCGGTCCAGGCCGCCAGGCTGCCAGGCCCAGCACGAAGCGCGTTCGGCGGGAGATCCTGCCAGGTGGACCCAACGTTGGACCCTAGTTTTTGGCGTAACGTCGAGATCTTTTCGAACTTTCGAATATACTATTGATTTCGAACTTTCCAATATACTATTGAATCATATAGAATCATTCTCAACAAAAAAGATCATGTGTTCATCATCCTGAACATGCTTTCATCTGGAGGCTGGATGCCAGCAGGCTGTCCACCTCGACCCGTTGGACTCCTCTCGAAGAGCGGAGGCGCCCACCGACCAGGCTCCGCGTCCCAAAGAATGCTCTGGTATGAAGAGCTGAACCTCATTGAATACAACACAGTCTGACATCTATTGAAGCCAACACTGTGTCATGAACCTTTGGTGGGTACCTAGCACATACTTGGACTACCTTTGTATCTTCTTATGCTATATCTATATAATACAAATTTCATGTATATGCAGCATACAAATGCACACCCCACTTGTTTTTGTCCCACAATGTTGATGCATGCGCCGCATACGCTGCCCTGCTATCCAGAATCCAAGTATGCCATGGTACACAGCATCACCAATCAAACACAAAAACAGGCGATGCGCCATGCTTCGTGCCCAAACAAGTACTATGCTCTCAGACTTTCGTTGGGGCATGACCTATATACCTTGTTGCTCGAGACGGCTCGAAACGGTTCCATATGTGGACGATGCATTGGGTATTTCCGGTATATCCCATTAATGGTACAATAAATGCACTTAATCAATTTAATCCTTGTTCCAATGCTGTAAGCAAATCACGTGAGATGAACACCGTTGATTTGGAATATAGATGAACCTTTGCTTGCAGCAAGCCAGCGCAACAACACCCCTGCTTTGCAACTAGAGTGCGGCTCCAACAAAGAGTGATCCAAAAGCCAAAGCCCATAGGTCCAGCTGGTGGTCATCAAGGTGCCAAGGCCTACAATCTGTGGCGTAGGCAAGCACCAACTATTCTGGTGCAAAATGGGGATGGTTCATAGTGAATGATCATTGATTGAAGACTGACGGGTGCTTGCTTCTTCTCACACAAAGCCACGATGTCTGCCCCTACGTAAGTGTGTCAATTTTTTCTGAGCAGTTCTTTGTGCAAAGTGGTGCGTGGACACCTCGTCAGCTACTGCTAGGGGCCCCACCAGCTTCATCTGCTGGCACCAGCTCCAGCACAAAACGCCAGGTCCTTTAGCATTCAGGGTTAGTAACATGTTGTTTAAACCAGAATTTTCAAGCCTCTCTAAGCACTATCGCACACATATGCACATTCGCTGAACGTTCCAACAACTCATACACTCCATAAAGGGCGCAGGACAACAACATATACAAACTTTAGGCAGCCCGTCATGAAAATTCTGACTTGGTCAACATCACTACCCACCTCTTCAGAATCAATGACTACAAATTCTGAGTCGGTTGGCTTGGTCCATCTCAGAAGATGGTTCAGTCTCCCACGAAGATCATCCACTCTGCCGAGTCTCGAGGCTTTCACACAGCTGCTCAGCGCCGCATTCCGTGCCTCCGCTGTCATTCCGTGCCTCCAGTCGGACTCGCTGTGGAGGAAGTGCAAAGCGCGAAGCCACTGGGTGCCGGTGTCCTCCGCAATCCGGTCCAAAGAAGTCAGCTGCAGGATGTTCAGAACATCTGAGGTTATGAAGATCTCTGAGCTGTAGGTGGTGGAGTATACTTGGATGATGTCATTCATGCCACTTCATGTGGTTTCAAGGTAGTTGCAAAGAATGGAACAGAATGCCAAAGGGTGTTCAGGAATTTGCCCAAGTATTTCACCAGTGTGTCAAGGTCAAACATGAGGCTTGCCTGCATTCAACAAACTGGAAAAAGGAAACAAACTCCAGCCGAGCGACCCAGGAGCTGAGAAGGCTATTCAGGGTGATGTCAGTAGGCTTGATAGCATTTCGCAAACAACGCTTCAATATACCTCAGCCGATGTCGCGTGCGATCACGGATGTCCAACTGTGCTGTGTGAGCCTGGTGAACCCAAGCTGAACAAGTTGAACCCCTCTGGCCAACCACACTTGCTTGGAGAAGTGATTTCTTAGCTTCGTTGTATTGCTGGGTTCCGCAGTAATACTGTATACACCTTAGACCTTAGATAAGTTACGGACAGTGTCAGTGCTTTTGCCCAAGCGTACCTCCAATATCCTGCCACCTCATATTGCCATGGCATGGGCTTTGTTTAGGTCCTTCTTTAACTTTATATCCACTTCCTGTGATCTGCAGCGCAAACACGAACCACTGCACCCCTTGGAGTCCCAACAGCCACGACGGCACCGAACATTGGGAGCGGCGTTCACGGCCTCTGTCCACTCAAGCTTAGCTGCTCATGGCCTCTGCCCACTTCCTCGGCCACCAAGGAGGAAGGGAAGCCAATGCTACCCGCGCGTATCGGAATAGATGAGACATGATGATGCGGAAAGATAACGATGGGAATATCGTGAGATCGTACGAATCATGACTTAATATGACACATGAATCATTGATCTCCGGGATTGAGCCAACATAACTTAATATGACACAGCCAGAAACATGGAGTGGAGACTCTGCATTTTGTCCTCTCCCTGTTGTCAAACCTTCACGCCAGACCACCATGACACCATGGGTTGGGAGTCATGAGTTCATCTATGACTTCACGCGTTCGGATCCAAACAAGGCACTGAACTTGCCGGCAGGACATGAGGGCCGAGTTCAAGCTAATGGAGTCCACTTGGAGGCTTTGCTCGTGACCTGCCTGAAGTGCTGTGAGGGACGCAGTCGATTGCAAAGTGAGGGACGCAGGGTGGTGAACTGAAGGAGCCACAAGACTTTTTATAGATCAATCCTGTTTAGCTTTAGCTTAGATGAAGGGGCTCCCGAAGAAGAAACTCCCTTGTCTCACAAGCCTTAAGGCTCATCCATGTTTACTTCGCCTTGCACTTCAGGGCCACCTTCTGCAGCCTAATTACCCAAGAATTAGAATGCGAGCCAAGAGTGGGCCTGGAGGTTTGTAAGGGCACCCTGCCATCGGCTACCCTTTTCCAGGGCGCTCAAGATAATGTTCATCATGGTGAGGTTCAGTCCATCAGGGATGCTCCTGCGAGGCTGCACCGCTACCATCAAATGCTCAAGCTGACAGGGTGCGACACAGCTGGGAACTACTGCATCTGTTAGGTTTGTTGATGGCCTACTCTGACGTTGATCCTAGGTGCCAGGTACATTCCTGTTTGGGGATAGCCCGCTGCTTTCCATGGACGACTGGCACATCGGTGCTGGATTTAGACCCGTGTCTTATTCGCTGCATGGGGACAAGGGATTTAGAAACAGGGCCGTCACACACCCACCTCAGCGTGCTCCTCAGCGTGCTGATGGCCATTTCCCACAAAGCACTCGGAGCGAAGGTCCCAAGCAAAGCGCCCCAGCTTTGCACCTGAGAATCGCCCCGCGGAATCGCTTGGCTCGTGGTGAAACGGTTTGCGAATCCCCCCACACCACTGTTTGCTGTATTACACGAGCCAAGTTGTATAACTTACTATACATGGCCACCAATGGCCACCATTGGCCACCCACTCTTGGCCCCCTGCTATGCTTTGATTGTGCCTATGTCGTATGCCTTGCCTGTAGGACCTTGGAACCATTGTCCCGTTCTGACTTGTTCAGTTCGGACCTGTCTCAGCTTCCCGGCATTTCTCCTCACTCCTGGGACCGGCTGGCCAGTTCGGTCCACTCGACACGTTCGGTCCAGTTCGATCGCTTCTCTTCAAGAGAGCTAGAGTACAGGCCGGTGTGTACTCAAGCTGATGTTCGGTGAGTACAAGCAATTCATCAAGCAAACATCAAGCAATTCGTTGTCTAATTGAACATGTGCGGCGTAGTACACACCGACACAGCTTTGCACCGGTCACATTGCTTAACTCACCCTAATAAAGGGGCTGCCACACAGCTAGGCCTCGTTGTGCAAGAATAATGTAGCATAGCAGGTCCCAAATAGATACCACAACAGATAGAGAATAAACTTCTAGTACACCATCGGTCAATGTGGAAAGCACCTACAGTATATAAGATTTGCAACACCTGGAGCTTCAACGAGTCGCCGGGCCAGATTCTAGCAGCTAGATAGATCTCCAAGCAGTGGAGCCGCAGCTACAGCACATGGACAAGTCTCTCCCCGTTCAGGGATTTCAATACCTTCATTTGGTTGACTGGAACATCGTCTCTAGACATCGGTTGAACATCATTTGCTTAACCAATTTGGAGAAAACAACTGGGTCTCCCTTCAAGCCTCCCACCAGCGGCCTGGAGAGACTTCCTCCATGCTGGTCATGGCCCAGCTCCAAGGAAGGCCCGACAGGAGTGTGCTCAACGTGAAAAGGTCAGGGCCTCGGCGGAACGTCCTGGGATGGGGCGCAGTTGGATGCACTGGGAAGGAATGAGAGGTCAATTGGTGAAAACTCAAACATCTGATTAATACATGACCCCTCCTACCAGAAATGTTTTTACATCTCCGTCTATTCCTAAACAGTCGACATTGGCTTTGATCCGTAGAGGCATGGATTGGCTTTGGATGATACAATTGCAGTTGTTCTCAGTTCTTCGGTTCCCAATGGTTCCCCCCCAAATCCTGCCCGTTCCCCCCAATTGGCTCTGAAAACCTGGGTCGCAGCTCTGAAAAAAGCGATTAGTTTTCACCTCTGGTCTAAGCCTCTGTTCACCTCCTCTTCAAGGCACGCAGCTGCTGGAAGGTAGCAGCACGAACGGCCTGCCAAACGGTCCGTGCTGGTCCCCAAAAGGTCCGTTGAGGACTGACACACTGAACACCTGAATGAACCAGCAAGCAAACTCGTTAAGAAAAGGACTCCTCCGTGTGCAAACAGCTGCCCAGAATGTGCAAACATTTGGCCCACCTGCAAGGATCTTTGCCATTGCAAGGTCTTGGACAAGGCGTTCACTGCGGTGTTGCCTTGCTGGCTTCACTTCTCTCAAGAGATTGAACGCTGCACTCCGCACTTCTACCGGGAAAGTCTTGCACGCCTTATCACGAGTGAGCATTTACCAAAGTAGCATCCAATATATTCCGCAGCTTTCATGTTCTGCCCAATTCGCCAAGAGGCGCAGTACGGCACTGGTTTCAAGCTTGAAGAACTGGAGGCTCAGCAACACATCCAGCACGGTGGTCCTGAGCACCGATGCTTGGCATGGATGATAGCTAGGGGCCCATCTGCAAAACCCATCTGACCATGGCAAGTTTGGACTTTAAACGATATATACTGTAATTAGGTCAGCACTGGATTGCCGAACACTTCCATAAACTTCGGTTTGGTACTGCTGACAATTCTTGTGGGCCCCTGGTTGGTTTGTCTCGTCTACTCCAGACCCTAGCTGCTGGCGAGAACCTGGTGATACCAACGAGCAAGCTGGTTCCGAAGCAAGTCCTTCTGACTGTAAAGAGCTGCTGTGAAAGGAAGGAGGCAAATCGCTTGGCTTTTTGACAAACGACAATCACCCCCCGCCCAGCAAGCACAAATATTCAATGGAGAGAAACATCCTTGGAGGCTAAACACAAACATCGGCAACACATCACTATAGAATAACCCCACCCTCCAGCGATTGCGCAACTGCTGCCCAAACCTTCATCAACCACTGATTTGCACCACGCAGTGTTCCTGGAAGGAACCCTCTCGTTTGTATCTGGCCATCCTGGATTACGAACCTGAAACCAAAGGATGGTTGCTATGTTGTGCTTCCCTGCGGTTGACATCGCCTGAACAGGCAATTCATCCACACGGAGGAAACACCAAGACCACCAAGGTGCCACTGTCCGACCGCCACTGCCCCATGGGCAGTTGCGCTAAAGGCCACCATGTCCAAGCGCATGTGCATGGCATCGAAAAGGGTCAAGAGCTCCTGGGAAGGTTGGTGTTCAGGCGTGAGAGGTGCTTGTGCGCGCGACGGTCGTGAAGTCACAGTCTTTGAGTCTTTGAGCCCTGCACTTGAACATGGAAGGTGATGCTGCAAAACAAAACATGTCAAAAATCAAACATTGGCTTGGCAGGTTTTACTCTGCTTTCAACATGGAAGGCAGGCCATGGAACTGTGGACAAACATGGTTTCACCAACGCACGGAAGCATTTGTTGGGCTCCATGGTCCTCATGAAGAATCTTTCCCAAAACAAGTATAGACGAGTCATTAATTTAATTAGTCCCCCAATCGAACATGATGCATACGAAGCAAATGCCCGCAACTGTGAGCAAATATCAATCGTTGAAACCAGTCTGGTGCTGCCTCACTCTCATTTCAATCAATCAAATATTTTTGGTTATTTGTAGAAGAACCCAAACAAAAAGTGTCATTTTTGATCGGCCGAAGCTTACTTTCCTAGTTTTGATCCCTTCCCCATGCCTATCATGGACAAAACCTTGCCCCGCAATGGTACAAGCATTCCATCAACTGAGCTTTCGGCTCACCTCCCCCCAACCCCGACCCTCTCCAGCCCCTGTGGCCATCGCACGCCCGAAGCACACGCGCTGCGTAGGGAGCGCGAAGTGCAGGTGATTCCCTGGTGACGAGCCCAGGTGAAGTGATAAAACCTCAGTTTCAGGTCCCATCGGTCGGACCCCCGTCACTGGCGGGTCTCGCCTGCTGAGAAGTCGGAGTCTCAATCCTTTGGTGTTGAAGTCGCCAAAACTCTCTCCTTCAACTCCTCCAAAACAGGACCAGGTGTCAAGGACCCAAGGTCCAGCCAAAAGAATTCGTTATTACTACACAAACAACCAACTGAATTCCATTCTACTCCGTGGTTGCACCATCAGCCGCCCGACCTGTGCCGAGCTGCGCCTCTGTCCAGCTGTTGGCACGTGTCGCCAGGGCGTTGAACGCCGCCGCGTCGGCGCGCACAGCGCTGCGGCAGGCCTGGACGGTTGACCGCACTGGGACCCGAGGGTGACAGAAACGTTGAAGACACGATTACAGGGTCTTGCTGGGTGCATCCAGTGTTTAGCTCAAACAGTTTGGCTTAAGCAAGTTACAAAAGGGAATATATTGCAAACTTCAGCTCAATCATCCCAAGCCAGGAGACCCGAACTCATGCGCACGACACAGGAGTGAAACCGCCGCCTTTTTCGGGATCGGATTCGGGCGATCCGAGCGCCGGCCAAAACAAGGCCACGATCAGATCGGAGATGGCCAAGTGTGCACGGAAACGGTCTTGACCTTCCTCTCGGCAATCTTTTGTTGCTGATAGGTGAACCATGCTTGACCACGGCATTCCAGAAATTCCTTCCAGGTGAAATCTTCAAAAAGCAAGCACCCAGGTGATTGGACCACTAACTGACTTGGTTACATTCTTGAAGGGCACGCAAAGGGACTTCCAAAACACATCCAGGGCCTCCAGGATGCACAATACAAACTTATCCTCATCATTCCTCATCCAAAGGCTTTCCAGTTTCAAGTTGCTACTAGCCAAAGGCTTCAATTAAACCAGATTATCTATAATTACCATTAATTACTAACGTTACTAACCATATTATGTAAACCACCCCAAGAATGACGCTCCCACATACACCCACCTTCTTCTCCGACAAGTTGACCCGGAAGCCACTCTTGTCCGCCACAGTGAGTTCGCTGCCCATGTGCTGGGCCACCCGTTTGGCGGCCTCTTCCGCTAAGGGCAACAGGTCCAAAAGCTCCGTGGGCGCCTCCCGTCGGGAGAATCTTGGAACCCGGTTGGTTCAATCCAGCTTTCTGAAGGACCCGAGGACTTTGGACTGCAGGGAAGGTTCAATCCTTCATGCCACCCCCCCTCAAACACAGCCCCGCGTCGCTGAGCCTGGCCTCCCAAATCGCTTCTCCACAACGCACAGCGCCGGAAAACTCCCCGCCGCTGGTGTTTACCTTGGCGTGGTAGCTGTGCGCGCAAATCACCCGTTCTGGACGCACCGGGACCACAGGCACCTCGAGCGAGAAGGCAGGTGGCGGTGGCAGGTGTTGTGGCAAATGGACTAGCGGCTTGCTCTCCATTGACTAGTGAATCCTCTGCAGTGGCATTTGGAGGGGATGAAGGTTTGCTAGTTTGAAGGATTCGTGTGCTAGTTTGCAAGGTTCTCAGGAGCTCTGACTGAAACTTTTCTTCTTGGACTCCAAGCAGGCTGGTGGTATGAACTGGGACCTTTTTGCTCCAAGCAAGCACTGCAAAACACTGAGCAGCTAGTGAGACAGGCCATCGGCTCCCTCGAGACTGGCCAGGGGCTCAGTTGTGGCACAAGGTGATCTTGGACCAGCAAACCTATGCCACCATTACATTCTGAGAGATCGAAATGTTTTGAGTTGGCCTGGTTGACTTCAGACTCTCAGTGTGCCTCCCTTCTTCCGCATTCTCACCATCCACTCTCTCTGTAGTGGGGCATGGCCCTGGCGACATGAATGTGCTGTCAACAACAACCAGTTCCCAAACAATCATTGTAGCCTTGGCATCCGCACAGCTGGGACATGAAAAATCGTTTGAGACGATGACGCTATCAATCCCCATGCTGCTGTAGAGGTCTACACAAATCGCCTCTTTCCGGGTGGACTGTACGGGCTGAAGAGTGACTTGGGTGAGGTTCTTGGGCGACGAGGCGAAGGAGGACCGGTCAGCCGTTTTGAAGGTGTTGTTCCCAATCTGAAGCTGCATTTCCACGAAACCCTTCTCATCCTGCATGGTCTTCACCACAACATCTGGAGTCTCCAGCGTCTTGCTGGGGATGGATTTGTTACAAGGCTTCGTCGCGGCGAGGGCGACGCTGCTGGTTTTGATGCTGCAGGACGTCTTGGGCTCGGGCTTTTTCTCGCTGCAGCCTTGCAAAGACACACTCCAAGCACCCAAGATCGCCAACGCAACTAAACGGGAGGACATCATAGCCGCTAGCCAAACAAATTCAGCATCAGCTTGAGCCACAAAAGTGCCATGAAATTCCTGCTACGATTGAAGAACAACTACGCTTACACACTTGTTCAGCAAGGTCAAGACTCCACGATGCCAACGAGAGGGGAAGAAAAGAGATACGTGATACGTCTATATATGAGACATCAAATGGACCAAGGAAAGTACGTCTACTGCAGTACACTCTTGCCATTCCTTGCAAACCGCCTTTGAATTCTGGAAATCGTTTCTCAATCTTCCCTGTCTCACTGCCACAACCTGCAGGCAAATCGTGAAATTTTAGGCCGTAGAAACCCACATCTAATTACATGCGACAACACATGACAACACATATCTACACAGCTTCACGAACAATCCCCGTTGAAGAGTCCTACACCACCTCAGAGTCTTCTCGACATCACTGGCATTCAGCACTGCCGAATGGCGCGGCTTGGCACGGCACCTTGAGGCGCCGGAGCTCCTCATAGAAGCTGATGTCTTCTGACCACTCCACGTCTGGCACTGGTGTCAACTCCTGCCGTTCGGGCCCTTGTTTTGGGCCATCTTAGACCATAGAGCTTACCCAGTTTACCACCTTGTTTCATTGTTTGGCAACTTCTTTCAGGTAAAAGCTTTGGACGTCGGGATGTAGACTGCCAGGAACAGGAAAATACAAAGCATCTCACAAATACTCCCGGGAAGATTGACATAAGGTTTCAGGTTCCATGTCAATCTTCCAGGGCGTACCATCTCAAAGCTATTGATCTTGACGGAGACTCCCAACAAGCACGAGTGAAGACGTAGGAGAAGCCCCAGCCATAGAGCCACCCGTAGCGCTGATCCTTGGGCAGCAATGGGTCCTTCTCAACATCCATGAAGCCAAAGGTCATGTCCTAAGATCAGGAAAAAGCAGCTGGCCCTCAGAACTCTCGGCTCAAATCCCCAAAACGTTTTACAGCCACTCCAGATTTGAGCCAAGAGTCTTGAAGGGGATGTAGATGTATCTAATGCATCATAGTTGTATATATACATAAATTCAATATCTATACATTCAGTATATGCATTTTAAATCATTTTAAAATATAACATGTGCGAAAATAACATGGGCCACCTTCACATGCATTCTAATTTGCAAGAGCATATGCAAACATCGAGTAATGGTGTCAGGAATGTCTCATGGCCATCCAATTCATATGTCCTTCCCTAAGGGGAACCAAAAACGGATCATTTCTTGGCTTCGCATCCGAAAGGTCCAGCAAGTGCCAGGCCTTCAGTGTAATGGCCGCAGGTGCCCAGGTGGATTCAATGTGCTCCGAAGTCACTGGCTCCGACTTCTCCAGGACCTGCTGGAGACGATCCTGACAGACACAGCGGTGGACATCACCGGATCCGAGAGATTCACGTCCGAAATGGCCATGGAGAGACCCCATCCGTCCCGAAGACGAGAGCTGGAAACGGTGGAGCGGAGGACGGCCGACATGGAACGAACATCCGAGTTGATTTCATTGGGCTTCAGTGGCCAACAGCAACTCTTGGAGCATGGGACCATGGGATTCATTTTGGCCAAATATACTTAATGGATGGATGGATGCATGTGTTAATAATATGTTACACCCGTTGAGATTAACACAAACACAAGTCGCGCAAACTTAACATTGCAGTTGGTATGTCTACAACTCTGAGGGTTGCATTGATTTCAGCAGTTGCTGGAAAACACAACAACAGGGCACTGCAGGGAACAGAGGAATTGATGTCAATCAACGCCAAAAAATAACGCGCAGCAAACCAACATGGACACCTCAAATGTACATGAGGTAACTTGCAAATAGCACGACACATGCTTCTTGCCTCAGGGAAGCATAACTGCAAAGATTTGCACAGATATAAATACAAATATATATATATATATATGCGTGTTCTATCATTTTCCTTTTTTTGTGTTCGCTGCCCAGTGGGCCTTGCAAACACTGGTCTAACAGTCCAACACTTTTCCAGGTCCTGTCGCGGTTTTCTTGAACATCTTTAACCACCAAAAGGTGCGAAACCAATCCGCGTGGTGCCATCCGCGCCATCCTCATTCGCCGAGGTGCTGACATCCAGGTGAGGTAGCCCTCTGCGTACAAGTCGTCATCGTCAAAGTGGGCAATGATCTCGCCCGCTGAGAGCTCGATCGCCACATTCCGCTTCATACCCAGCGACCAAGCACTTGGGCGCAAGCCCCGGGAGGACCAAAGATCTGGGGTACCTGAGTGGCATTTTTGCCGACTAACATGTGCCCCGTATGGTTGCGGGATAGAATAATACTGCAACCATAAATCCAAATTGACAGATCCATCAATTAAAAATATACATTATATGATCGCTACAAATTAGTGAGGGGGGAGGACCCTAAATGTAACTTACATTTTCCCTAGATTTGAGGGTCGAAAATGTAATATAACATTTTGTTTTAAGACGTCAAAAATGTAATGTTACATTTTCGACCCCCTAGCTTACATTTTTGGGGGAACATAAGCACGAAATCTAACTCCTGTAGACCCCCTCCCCCCCCACCACGTTCAGGCAATTTTAGCTAAGTTAGATTTTAGCTACGTTCCTGAGAAAAAAAACGTCTAGATACATCTAGAAAGAAGATAAGCCTTAAGAAGGACATATCTACTTTGGACAGAAAAAATAAGCTGGGAACGTAGGAGAAGCCAAAACTGGTGAGAGCACCAATAAATCCAGAGAAACATCAGCTACAGCTAGAAAGAAGATAAGAGCCTGAACCGGGTGTCCTCCAAATAGCAAGTGGGTGTCCAAATTTCTACCCGTCCGGTAAACTCCAAAGCACAGGCTGGCAGCTTTTTCCACGGACTCGCAGCATTTGCTGCAAGTTGCAAACAATCAGCACTTGCACACATCACATGGCATCCCATTCAAAACCATAATGATAGCAAATAGCACCAAATTCAATTACCAGGCTCCATGCGCACATTGCAACCAAGCCAGCAGGTCAAAATGTTGAATCTTCCCTTATGCTATTTTTCACTTTGATCTTCCATGTGACGCGATAGTGTCCCCCCGCTACCAGATCGCCTCAACAAGCCGCGGTTCTAAGAATCACGAAGCTTCAAGGCAACCTTCAACGGACGCGACCGTTTTACTCGAACAACTCTCACCTCGTCCTAAAGCCCCTCCAGAAGCTTAAAGCTTCAAGAAGCACACACCACAAACTCAAACAGGTTGTGACTGCCAGTAAACTGGCACACCGGCTGCCAGCTAGCTGGCAGTCAAATAGCCTACCAAGGTTAAGCGCACCCAGCTCAAAACCCCAGCCCTTCTACTTTGGTCTTTGTTGGAAACTGAGGTGTCCTTACTGAACCAACACAATTTAACAGTAAAACCGTGACAAGTCCTTTACGCCAAACAGGTTTTGCAACACTTAATTACTCCAAGTGCAAAGCGGTTGGACCCTAGGTATACCAAGTGTTCGAGGTTTCCCTAGCCAAAAAGATTTGGCTGGCTAAATTTTGACGGGTTTTCCTCACCAAGTGGATTTGGCTGGTCAAATTGCGACGGGCTTTCCCGGCCAAATGGATTTGGCTGGTCAAATTGCGACGGGTTTTAAAGAAACCCATCACATTTTGGTGGCCAAATCCATTTGGCCAGAAAACCCATCACGATCTGGAAGCTTGCCTGGCCCCAGAAAAGCGATGTGTTTGTCAAGAAACCCACCACAATTCCATAGGTTTTGGAAAGCCCATCACAATTTGAAGTTCGGAGTGAGCTGGAAAGTTTGACGGGTTTCCATTTTCCTTACTTAATAATTGCGACGGGCTTTTTTAAAAGCCCGTCACATTTTAGGGTTGGGGACCGCGTCCGAAACGTGACAGGTTTCCCTGGCCAAATCAATTTGGCTGGTAAAATTGTGACGGGTTTTCCGTTTCCAACTCACTCATTCCTGCAAGGCCCCATTGATCGAGCTTGGCCAGCACTGAAGCTTCGGGCGCACATTGCACCTACAAGCTTCAGGTGTTTGCATCCGACTGCTCCAAGCATAATCTTCCAATCCAAGATCGTTGAGCCTCCGCTCCTGAGCACCAATACAAGGTAAACGTCAAACCGAGAAAGTTTCACACGTCCAAGCTGGGCATATTGAGCAGTCAGTATATAAGCGCAGTGGTTGGTGCTTCCAGCTGGCTCAGCCCTCGGGGCCGCACAGACCTACATCAACACATGACTCCGCAGAGGGCCGAGAAAGATCTGGCAAATAGTGTGAAGTACGACTTGGACCTATTGAAGTTGCAACGTCCCGGTCAAAGTCAAGCCTCTCTTTTTGCAGCTCCGACAGGTCCACGTTCTCCATCCAAGTGCTTTAACAGTCTTGAAGCGAAAGCTCTATCAAAATGTGGCGCAAAACGTTTGAAATAGTGGTGCTTGGCTGTGGCGCCAGAAGCGGTGGATGATGTTCGTGGTTGTGAGGAAGGAGATGGTCTCTGCAGACTCTTCACACGTAACGTCTCCATCATCATCATATCTCCACGCTGGCATGGCTGCCCACTACGAAGGAATCTAAATTCTTGAAGTTCCATGACTGTATATATAGGTCAGTCTTGCCTGTATCAAGCGCATGTGGATGTTGCCTCATTCTTAGAGCTCTTTGCTCCCAAGCAGGACCAAATAAACTACATGGCTGTGTTACATGCTCTTAACGGAGCCAGCAAGAAACTTGACAACAAGGTACTATTCCAAATCAAACACTTGCTATTTGGAAGACACCCGGTTCAAGCTAGATGAGCCTAGATATAATCACAACATATACAGCAAGAGTGACGGACTGACTGACTGACTGACTGATACAAACAAATTGGCCAACAAGATGGACACCTTTCGCTGTTTACAGAAAGGTCCAGATGACTCGACAAGGATGCAACAAAAATCACATTCAACATCATTCAACATCTCCAAAGCATATCCCAGCCACTAAAGCCAAAGTGAACAGGGGCACCTTTCTTCCACCCTTCTGGGAGATCTAATCGCGAATCCGCCACACAAAAGTGTCGATAGATGATTCGCGGATCTTCCTTGACCCGCTCCTGGAAAAAGGACGATGGCTCCGGGCCAGTGTCAACGACCACCAATTCCTTTGGATGGTACTCTTGCCGGCAAAAGCAATCGTAGAGCAGAGGATGGAAGCCCTGGCGCGAAAAGCTGGTGGGCGCTACCACGGAGATCAACGGTTTCGCCTTCGACGCGTCCAATCGCTCCACCTGTCGCCGTTCCTTCACACCATCGCGCCGAGGGTCGAAAATGCCGTTGGTGAGCACGAAGAGGGCAGCGGAGGTGCGGGACCACCCGGCAGCGGCCATGGGCAGGTGTGGTTCGGGGGGCAAGGGCCGATACCAACTGACGATGTGGCGCATCTGTGCTGCGCGATCCTTCACGTCGGCGAGCCAGGGCTCGAGATTCTGATGCTGGTGTCCAGGGCATCCGCATCGGCCACATCGCACCGGCAAATGAGGATAGGCCTGAGCCATTCCGGCGGCTTGCTCCTCGGAGGAGAGTGGCCAATAAAGGGTGCCTGTGCCTGGAAAGCCAGGGCATCTCTTGCACATTCGGCATGGGCCTCGGGGAACACCCAAGGCGTCTGCGTTCAGCCAGCGCGTTCCATCACCATAGCTGGCAATCAGCTTGCCCAGTTGTGGCGGAGGCATATCCAACCATGGCTACACATGGAAAGCACTGTTCTTTGAGGACTTGAGAGGGTACCTGCCTCTGACCATGTTTCGATAGATGTGATAGTAGTCTGTGGGCTCGCCCTCTTGGCCAGTCTGGGGGGTGCTTTAAGTTGCAAATTCCGAGAGCAGGACTCTCAGGGTCCCCTGCCTGGTGAAGATCCCCAGCGACTTAGAGATGCATCCTGTGGCGAAAGAACTTTCTTGACTTGAAAGCCTAAAGCTATGGCGCCATGGCTTTGTTTCAGTCTTGCCACAAGACCAGACCTGCGATCCGGGGACCCTGTTGTGCATGTTCGAGATGTCCATCAGGAGTTTCTACATATAGAGTTTGCAAGCTGCAAGTTCTTCTACCTGTTTCTGGGGGACCTAGCTTGAGCTTGACACATGCATGATTGTAGCCACCTTTTCTCACATCTTCATCTTTCTTCAACGAAGAAAAGACTTTCCGGCTGGCCTAGCCACGGGGGCCCCGCTGAAACTCCAAACAACCTGGGGGACCTGGGGTAGAATGTTTTCGCCAACATCCTTCGATTCAACCCAGTCTATTACAGTAAGAACAAGACTTGCCTTTGTAAACAGCGCTGCTCAAGAAATTCAATGCGATTTGTGACGCTCACGTATGCTCACGTATGCTTACGTACAGTTTCAATCCCTGAAGACCGGACTGGATACAGCGAAATATTGGATTGCTGAAGATCTGGAGAGGTTCGACCTAAATGGGGCGTTTGATGTCAATCAGATCTGATGGGACACAGACACGTCTTGACATCTTCACCTTCACAAGTCACCCAGTCACGTCCCATCTTGAGTTCCTGCTCTATGTAGCTGTCGCCTCTTGCAGCAAAGCCAGTGCCGAATGCCAGTTGGGTGACGTGGCCACGGCTGACACCACCTCGAAGAGTCCTGCCGGTCTTATATACTCAGGAGAAGCGTAGAAGCAACATGAAGCAACAAGTTCTTCTCAGTTTCAAGTTGAATCAAGGACGAGGACGAGCGTATAAATAGATCTATTGAAACTATTGCATCCACCATGCTTCATAGTTTTACGGCACGTTTGCGGAGCACTTTCAGTGGCATATACCCCATGCATTCTCAACAAACTGCGCTGTGAAAAAAAGAACCACATGGAGGTTAGGAAGGCTTCCTCCTCACGAGAGGGAGACACATCAATCTGTCCTTAGTTTTTACGTTAGGCTCAAGAAAGGTTCCTCTTGTGGAATTGGGTCGAATTGCATGGGCAAAGATCTTCACAAAAAAAAGGACATGTGGGGCAATATTTGTACCGCATCAGCAGCCAAACAGCCGGCACTCTCAAATTTTGCTGTAAATATTGTAAAATTAACAGTGTAATACAGTGTATAACAATACTGCATAGGTGATCATGGACGCGTCCCCAAAAACACAAAACTCCTTTGGGCTGAAAGCATTCCAAGAACAATGCCTTGCCTTCTTTCTCAAACAAGTTTCTTCATGAATCAGACATCGTGAGCCTGAAACATAGCAACATATTCTCAAGAACTCTCAACAAAGCTCTCTGTGTGTCTGTGTGTGCGTGTGCCGCCTTGTATGGTCGATATTGACGGCGCACCAGTCCTGAACCCGGCATTGGCCATACCACCTGCCTTGATAAAACTCCACGCCACACGGCGCATAGGCGCAAGCGAAAACCGATTTTAGCTAAAAGCTTGGAGACTGCTTTGATTGCTCCTGGAAAGAGCTTGAATGAATCTAATGGTTCCAGAACGCTCTTGCTTTGTCTTTGAGGCCTTTTTGTGGCTGGCTTTGCACAGTGTAGTCGGCCCCCCCCACACCAGCTTGGTGGTTGCTACCATCTTTTTGACGGGCATGGTGAAAGCAGCAGCCTGAATTAGCCCGGTTCTGCAAATGGTTCACTATAGAACTTGTAGAACTGCAGTTCGAAGCTGTTTGAACCTGAACGCCGCAATTCTACGGCACTTGCAGCCTTGCAGGCCATAAAGCAAAAGAGGTACAGTATAGACACTTTCACCCCAAAGAAAGGAAGAATGGTGCAGTACAGTGTCTGCAGAGGGACACGCTGGATTGAAAACTTTGGACCGTGCCAAATGATAGCCTCCCACATCATAGACATGCATTGCCCAGAGGGTGGGAGAGAGAGAGAGAGAGACATGACAACAAAAAAGAAGCGAGCTCGCGACTCATTGCATGTATCCAAAAATTTCACGACACTGCCAATCACCCTTCTCCGGGTCTTGTTCCCTCCCTCTTGATGCCGCTCCTTTCTTCTCCAAAGCGATTTCGTCATTGGCGCGACATATGAATGATACGACTTCGCGGATCCGGGAATCGAGCCCGGGTCGACCACTGACGAATGGCGATGTATTCTAGAGAACTCAAGCTAATAGTAACAGGTGCCACGCTAGTAGCAACAGGTGCCTTACAAGTAGTAACAGGAAGCCATTAATTTTGATTTAATTCTAATAGCTTTTTGTTACTACCAGTAAGGCACTTGTCACTACTAGCGAGGCACTTGTTCCTAGTAGAATTCTAATTCCACGGATCGACCCTGGATCGAACCTTGAACCCATACGACCGGTGTTCGACACGGATCCGGGGCCAGCGACCCAACTCATCACGGCGGGACACCGCAGAATCCCCGATGTCGCCACCCTCAGGTGACACCATTGAGAACGGTCCTGCCAGCCCAGGTGCAACATCAGCAAGAGAATCCTATGGATATAAAGGCATTTAGCTAAATAGACATGAACGATATGCGTGAAACGCGTGCATCATTCTGCATCAATTGTACTTACATTGTATATGAATAAGCAGCATATAGCAGTATACATACTACGCACCATTTTCAAGCCCTGCAACTACTTCAAAGGGACCTCAGGTCAACAGAGTACTTGAGGGTTTCCATTACCAGTCTCACCATCCACGTCTGGTCTCGCCCCCGGGACAGCCCTCACTCGTCTCGTGTCTCGGTGCCTCATCGTTGCATGGGAAACGGTGGGCTTTGGCAGCCGTAGGCCACTGGCATCTGGATCTGAACCTGTGTCCAACCGCGGCGGTTCTGCTACGCCGGGCTTGGGCAAGAAGGGGGACCGGTTCATTGCAAACATCGAAGGTATAGGTGATGAGATGTGATGAGTACAAGCTTCAACAAACGCTAAGTCACTAAGGGGCCCTGGTGCGATGTCTGCAACTCCCCTTTCCCCTGTAACCACTCACCACCCAGGCAAGACCGACCTTACCTGCGGCATCTGGATCTGCGGCGCTCGAATGAGTGGCGCATTCGAGCTGGGCAGCGGCTGTTGAAGTTGCGGCCTGGGGGGGCGGGTGCGGGTGCTGCATGGAGGTTAAACAGGTTGGGATTCCATGGAGTGGGGACGGAGTGGAAGACAGTTGTCTCATGGCGTTTGAAGACAGGTGCCGCGTGACTCGATAGGCAATAACAAACATCTTCCAAGTTGGTGAGATTGTGACCAAATGTGACCAACATGTACATCGAGAGCCTGTAGAAGAACCGAGAAACATGTGGAATGTGGATTGGGGTCGTCGACTGAGAAAAAGTGAAAAACCAGTTGCAGTCCTAGTGGCTGCTGAAGTTGTGGTTGTTGCAGCTGCGGTGGTTGCAACTGCGGTGGGAGCTGTGGCTGTTGAAGTTGAGTCTGTTGCATTTGCTGTGGCTGTTGTAGTTGCTGTGGCTGTTGCAGTTGCTGCGGATGTTGCAGTTGCTGCGGCTGTTGTAGTTGCTGCGGCTGTTGTAGTTGCTGCTGCAGTTGCGGAAACTTTTGCACACCTGGCGTAGTGTGAAATGATCCGACTTCACACAAGGCTCTTGATGCAAACACACCCAGCCACACACTTCTGCAGGGTTCTGCCGTTGAAACAAACGACCCTACCTACCCATTGGAGAGGAACAAAACACCTTGGAGCATCCAAAAGGGGCAATCTTTCTTCTTGCTCTTGCCTTCTCTTTGGGCACCCTGCAGCTGGCATGCTGCTTGCTCTTTCTGCCTACCTTCCCTCTCCTGAAGTAAACCGATGGGCTGAAACTCAAAACTCATGACACTGATGTCTACATCTGGATGTGTTTGCTACTGCATCTGACATCATCTATATACATGAATGCATTGTAAAATGCACACCTTTTCGATTCTACCTGAGCGTTGGAGAAAAAGAACACAAGGCCAGTGTAGGGATGTGTAGGGTTTGACAGCTATGGCCAGAAATGGTCTGTCCAGAAATGGTCTGTGGAATATGCCCGTGGGTTGGGAAGAGTTGCAGTGCATATACGATCATATAGGTGATCGACCCACTGGTAGCAATCTCAAACGGATTGCGAATGCAAAGCAATTCGATTCCAGAAAACTTGAAAGGAGGGAGACACGAAAGGTAGGACAGCGGGAAGAGAAGAGAACGCGAGAGGCAGGAACAAAAATGCAATGTTCGACATGGTGATTTATCCCCTCGGAGGCGACCTTTCGTAAATCGTAAATATATGTTCATACGCACTCTAATTGTTCAAACATATGCTCTGGAAATGTTCAAACAGATTCTTAGGAAAACAAACTTGCCCCATGGATCAGATCATCGGTGAGCATTGAATCGGAGCATCGTAGGATTTGAACTATCCTGAAACCATAAGAGGCTCACGAAGACGCTCCCCAGGAGAGAATTGACGTGCTTCACAAAACAAACTCTAGGTATGTATCCCCTCGGGGAACACCTTTCGTGATTAGAATTTCATATGCACTCTTTCTAAATGTTCAAGAGGGTTTCAACTATCCTGAAATCATGAGAGGCTGGCTCACGAAGACGTTCTCCAGGAGAGAATTGAATTTTGAGGGGGGGGGGTCTGTATTGAAAAATCAATTCCAAGGGGGCGGGGGGGGGGGGTGTGTTTAGGAAATAAATTGGGGGGGGGGGGGGGGGGTGGGGGAGGGTTTGAATTGAGTGACCAATTATTAGACCCGGACGTCCCAGCACTTGCTTCGCAAGACAAACTCAAGGTATCCCTTCAAGGGCTACCTTTCGTGACATCGAAAACACCAAAACAATGCATCCAATACCATGATCATCGATGACCTCTTCAATTTCACAAGTGCCTCACCTCCAGTGGGTACCGGTATGGGTGCCGGTGGCAGTTGAGCCTGGCACCAAGTGGCACTGAGTACGGCGCCAGGCTCAACCGATGCAAGAAACGCCACGACGGGTGTGGGCCTCGACTCGCAGTACTTAGTAATGCGACATGGGAGTCCATTATAGTATGTTCATTATAGATCATTATAGTATGTTCGATATACGTATGTCTATGTTTCTTTCCATCACAAGAAGCACACTTGAAAGAACAATGGTGTATAAATACTCAGGCACTGCCAAACAATTCCCCATCACTGCAGAACCGTGCAACGAAAATGACTGCTTTGATGCAGCCCTTCATGGTGACCGCATGACTGCATGGCAGTCGCCCTTCACCTGTGGCATCCAAAAGCCGCCCCGCGGAGGACTCCGAGCTGGGACCTGAGCGCCCGGCGCGCCCGTGGGCGACCGAGCCGTATCGACCATACGACGCCGTACCGCCACTTCGAGTTCGCCCAGGGGTCGAAGGTCTTGCTCGGTCTACTCAGATCTGCAGAAGAAGAGTCTAAACAAAGGACTTATTGGCACGAAGGGATGGCAAACATCATATGGGCACGTATTCCTTTTGTGCAGCTCTGCGATGCCTGTGGTAAACAAATATAGTAGAAGTGCCTTCTGCGAATTGGGCTTCGCAAAAACAAAACTTCAATGATGCAGGTGTGCACGCCTTTTCTTTTGAAATTTGCCTCCTGAAAAATGCTGTCATTCTGACCAAAGTGATCAACTGATCACTGTAGTCACAGGTCATTGTCCTGGTCACACCATATAAACTCTTGCAACATTCATAGAACGTCTGGGTGAAAGCGAGCGCGGCACTACGGCCACTCACTGTGGTCTCAAACCTGCCGAAAAAACGGTGTTTCAACTCAAGGTTGGGCCTATCGAAGTGGAAAAGCTATATAAGTGCCTGACCAGGCCTCTTTAAATCCATGTTTTATGATTCAATCTATTCAATCTATTTCAATACCTATTGTGCTTTGAATCCCAGCTGCAGGGATGCTACAATCCTTAAGCTCTAATATAGCTTGGAGGCGAAACAACTTGCAGTCGAAGGGCCTTTGGGGGGGCCTTCACCCTCTTGAGAGACGTCTCTGTAATGAATGGTTTCGCAGATTGGAGCATCGGACCACTTCACACAAGTCTTCTTACATCCCATGACATGAAACCAGCGCTCGCCCTTTTTGGTGCCTTTCACGAGCGTTCGCCATCAGTTCAAAGATTCGAAAAAGGTCAAACGTATGTTCTATTGAGAAATGCAAAAATCGATCACAAAGGTTCGTGGAATAAGTCATCCTCTGGATCCTTCCGATCGTCCTTTGAGGACGTGGAAAGTGTTGGTGAAACGGCGTCCACGGCGTCCACCTCCTCAGGTGGAAGCAAACCGACGCGAAGAGAGTCCAATGAACCAAGAGCCTTCTTGATCTGCCTCCTTAGATCCAGCGTCGGAGTCATCGTGGAACCGCTTTTGTTAGCCAGGTGACCAGGATGGAAAAGGGTGGAGCCTGGTTCCAAGAGCAAGGGACGAAAGTTGAGGACTGCCACTGAATCACGAAGTGAACTCAAGAAAAACACTTGGTATTACCTAACATATGGATGCCAACACATGTCAGCAAAAGTGATACGCTCAGCATCTATAAGTATAATGTTGGATCCTGATTAGTAAATAGGCCCCCCCCCCCTTCAAACAAACGGGGGTCCTCTATAATAGACTATCACCAAAACAAATCTGGATTCCTGTGAGAATTCCTTTTTGTAATTGATTGTAGTATTAATTGTCCTTTCATAGATTGTATTCAGCTTCCTTTCTCAGGTGCCTTGTAATTGTTCTCAGCAATCCTTTTGCTTTGCAGCCTCAGATCTTCAGCTCAATTACATTGAGTTCATTAATTACATTGTTGTCAGATCTCAGCTCCTTTGCTTTTTCAGCTAATGAAGCTCAGTAATGAAACAACAAACCAAGAGCATTTCTGTTGAAAACAAGCTGTGTTTGCAGGGGGTGGTTGGTGTTCACTGTTTGAAGAAAGCTGTCAGTTTTGAAGACACCTAGAGAAAGCTCTATCAGCTAATGAATCACAATCATTGGCCACAGGAGCTAAGTAAAGGGAGATTCCATGCGCATTTTTCCAGTGGAAAAAACTTTTCACAGTTGAGGACCCAAAAACAAATCTATTATTGAGGATCAGGTGCCTTCCTGGTCTACTACCTTGAACATTTTTTGTAGGAGCAATGTTGTATAACGGGTCTATATAATTGGGGAATTGGTGGCTTTGGTCAGCTGTCAGTTTTGAAGAAACCTAGAGAAAGCTATATCAGCTAATGACTCATAATCATTGGCCTCAGGAGCTAAGTAAAGGGTTGTAGTTAGTTAGTTAACATCTTGTTGGTGGTCTGTTTGTCTGTCTTTTGCTTTGCTGCTGGCTGCTTGCCTGGGAAGGGAGGGGGCAGTGCACGTGGACAGGGTTCAGAAGGAATTCAACCCCGTATTAATTAGGTTTCCAATTTAAAAATTTAGGGCCCCCAAAAAATTTAGCATTATAGAGGAACCATTTTTCAAATAGGGGGGTCTGAATAAATTTTGAAACATTTAGCATTATAGAGAGGACCTATTTACTAATCAGGATCCAACACTAGTCTATTATAAATTTGAGAGTTTAGATGTAGCCAAGCGTAGTGGGTTATAAATGTATTTTTTTATGATTTTTTTTATGTTTTCAATATGTTTCTATTTATGTTTTTACAAAAGGGTGTTTTTTGATTTACGTCTTTTTTATGTTTTTTTAACGTTTTCTTTTATGTTTGGTTTTATGTTTTTATGATTTTTTTAATGTTTTTATTTGAGGTCTCACTGGTGGTTGTTCCTTTCACTTGTAATCTACAATCTACAATTCTACAAGCACATCTTTCTTGCAAACTTCTGCTTTTGTTTCTATTTTTGTGTTTTCGTGTGTTATCGAGGCCTCTGAAGGTTATTGTGATTTCTTTCAATGAACCAAATAGATTGCGATGTTCCACTAGGATTGGCATTGGGTAACCCTTGGTATGCTTAGGCACTGTACAGCCGAAAATAGCCTTAGCTACTTTGGGTATGCTTACGCAGTTGGCCCGCTAGGGTGTTGCAGGGTGTGCCGCAAGGAAGTTGGAAATATTTCACTGTAATTAGGCTTGCTGAATGGGATTTGTTGGTTCCGAGATTGCACTTCGCCAGGGTCAAGCAGCATAAAAACACATCAATGCCAGGTCACACGTGCGTCTTCTCACTTGCTGGAGTTGATGTTTTGCAGGGGCAAAACTGTAAACGCGCAAAATGTTTGCCTGATACGGGGGTCACTGGTCTCAAAAGCGGCTCGCTGAAGTGATTGTGATGCACCACCTTCTTAACTGTTTGTTCGTAAAACATTGATGTCGTGATGACATTCCGTGTGCAGTGTGGTTGAAACGATGTGTTGGTCGGAAAACAGCGTTGTGCCTGGGCTGACGCTGACAGGATGCATTTTGCTCCTAAGGGAAGTATCATGTGAAGGCACGGTTGGAACGAAATAAAAACAGGTCGGGAACCCTACTACATTGGTCCTAAGCATACCCTGATGATGTTAATTGTCATTAGATCATTAGCTCTGTCCAGTATGCTTATATCCTGCTGTAGTTGGATTCCCGATCTATTTCCGACCTATTCCCGACCTAATCCTGCTGTGTTCCAAGCCTAGCATGACTTCACAGGGTCTTTCTTCGGGCCCCGACCTATTCCCGACCTATTCCGGCTTTGTTCCAACCATGACTTCGCAGGGCTTCTTGGGCCCGACCCATTCCCGACCTATCAATTCCTGCTTTGTTTCAACAATGTTCCTGACCATGACTTCACAGGGTCTTTCTTAAGTCCCAGGCCTATTCCCTACCACCGTGCCTGCCACCTATTCAGTTTGGCGCAGTTTTGGTAATTTCTTGATTTCAGTTGTGTTTTTCAGGCCTGTGCTGTTGACAAGGTGGCCACAGCCCATTATTCGGATCAAAAAAGGGAATTGTAAACCCCTTGCTTTGCTGGAAATTTTCGTGGCCAAACCCCGCTTATGAACCTTTCGACAGGTCATTGAAACCCATCTTGGGTTGATTTTCATGGCTGTTTAGCCCACCTTCTGTTTTGCTGGATGCCCGTGACTACCCTGACTAAACTCCTACCTCTAAACACCTGTTAAGCCCGTATGCCTAAGCGTACCAAAGGCTACCCAAGATTGGCCTGCAAAAAGGGCGCCCACGAGGTCTGGTTCGACATGCTTGAAATGCATGTTTTGAAGGGGGAAACCGGACTGGGTGGGGGTCTTCTTTCACAGGCCAATCCAAGTGGAAAATTAGCAGCGCAAGTAGAGATTAGATTAGATAAAAAAATACGTAATACACTGATTTTTGTAGTGTTGTTTTCAGGCAGCCCGCAAAACCTTAGCGGTAGCGGTGACAATGACTAAGCCTAAGTCTAAGTGACTAGGCCCTGACCAGGCCTAGGCCTAGGCCTGGGAGTTTGGAAGTTGGCAAGGTCGGCAAGGCATTGTTCTTTCTGAAGCCCCAATATGGCCTTCTGCTTCTTGCTTGTGTGAAAATATGAAACTATGGCCGATGACATATGGCATGCTTTTTGAGGGTCTGAGACGATTGTCGTATAAGGACATGGTTTTATGGGATCATGGTTTGTGTATGCCCAGTAACACTCATCTTCAGTAGTACGACTTTTTAAATCATTCCGATTCTTGCGTTCACTGCCTGGCTTAAATGCCCTTTGTTGCTGGGCCAGATTGGGCAGAGCTTCTGCTTGCGGGTAGCGGGTAGCCAGGTTTCTTTGAATTCGAACGTACGCCGTACGCATATCTGAGGCATATCTATAAGTGTGTGTGTGTGTGTGCGTTTGTTTTTTTGACGGGGTATTCACAGTCAGCGCGCGCTAACGGTTAACGCGAAATCACCGCTTGGCCTGGCCCAGGCCTAGTATGGGAGTAATCACTACTCCCTAGGGCCTAGGGCCAGGGCCTTGAATGTTTGCGGGTTGCCCCGTTCCTTGCAAGAAGCGGAAGACACAAACAGACACACAGGTAGCTGCCCAGCAGACCCTTTTCAAACAAATTTGATTTGCCGGTAGCGGGGCGACCGTTTCTCCCTGTAAGTCGCAAACTCTGCCACCATCTCCAGACACTCTTACAGTCTCTCAGAGTTTTTTCCTGATTTGGGTCAGGTCAAGAGTCAAAAAAGTCTGTCTTTGCAAATAATCCTTAGCCGCCTCAGCCTTGAGTCCTTGAGAGACTCTTTGTTCTGTGGATTTTGGAGAGCAATTTGAAGCGGAGAAGGAGCAATTACGTATAAAATTAGATGGACTGGCTTTTGACCAGTTACCTAAAATC